TAGGCAACAAACAAATGACTAAAATTTTATTAACCCACATTCCTAACAAAGTAACTGTACAATAAATACTATGTATAAGAAGAAAAATATTTTAAACATATGATAGCCTCACAGCCATTTACTCGATTTCTTAAAGAATCAGGCAAATTTCAATGAAGAGTGAAGATATCACAGGAATAAGGAAGTATGTGGTGGCAAAAAAATTGGAAAATCGTGTATTTCTGCTTCATTCAAACTTACAACAAGTCACTCATTGATTTCCAAACAAAATCTATCTTTCATTTCAAACTTAAAAACACAAAATAGGCAATCATATTCATTTTTGCATAACCAATACAGACATCAGAAGTAACGTCATAAAGATAATAGAAAAAAATAACACACACCTTGCTTATTGCAGCATCTTCAGCCTGCTGCACTAAGGTTGTTCCTTCATCAGTTATGTGCTGCAGGAAATCCATACTGTATATTAGCAAACTTACAAGGACAAATAAATCTTGCTCAGTTGAAAGTATGGAGAAAGCTCCACCTGTTTGAAGATACTGCCAATGGGTTCCAGCCCTTTAGTGACCTTACTGTATAGCCTGTACATTCTAGAAAGATCGTCCACCTAAAGAGATCCAAGAACCAAAGCCAATATTCTTAATGTAAACTGAGCAAAAAAACAGAAAACTTACAGGCTGTAAATAATGTAAATGCTATACCTTGTCATCTTTCAACAATGCACGACATCCAGAATTCTCCTTCTCAAGCAGTTGATTTTCATAAACCAAAAGCAGCTCATTTTGTACTTTCTGTGTAGAAGAAAGCCAATAAGACATCAAAAGCAAACCATATAAGAAGCCCAAACGTTTTATATGATACAGGAATTTCTGAGGACAAAATCTTTACGCACAATCATCAAAACCTTAGCAATACTAGAAGGAAATTGCTTAAGCAGAAACAACAAATAAATCTAACCTCCAGAAGCTTTGGCTCACTGCTAAAATGTAGATAATGAGCCACTCTATCTTTCTCTTTCTTCAAACATTCCTCCGACTGTATAGTCCATAAATAATTAAAATGAGTCATACATTGTTTTTTAGGCCAAAATCGAATAGTAGAGAAAAGAAAATGCTTGCCTTCAACATATATTCTGGACATGAGTCCTCCAGAATCCAGCTTGAGGCCTTACGTGAGTAGTAAGCAGCGGTATCATCTAGCATATGAGCTTCAAAGTCCTTTTCGTAGTAATCCATTTGTCCCATTCCGATTTCAACATATATATCAAGAACATTCTTCAGTAATGCTCTATCAATTTGTCCACCCTCCCTTTCTACGTCAATCTGATCAGAAACACAAAGCCATCTCTCATCTGCATGCAGAACGTGTGTAAAAAAAACCAGGAAAAAAGGTTTCATGCTATGAACTTACCAGAGCTATGACAGCATCCTTGGCTTTGCCAGATACTTCTTGATAAACCTGGTGCAAAAAAAGTTCATTTATGAGTAAGCTCCTTATGTAGAGCAAGAGTATACAAGTCAGAGCAAACATTAACCGAGAACATATATTATACTATCAAGAGAGAAGGAAAATATTTCAATACCAGATCACGGAAGCAAGTCAATCCAACTTCATGCAAAGATGGAAGTGACCTCCGAGCAATGAAGTACCGATCCAGATAATGGAAGAAACGAGACAGCCACCTGACCATTACTTTATGATTTGACCATCTCTTCACAAGCTCTCTCAGCATAAACTCATCATGTTTCTCCCCAAGAGAAGGTAAAACCTGATTCAAAGTAACGGGAGGGAAGAGGAAAATGCAGTGTTAAAAGCACAGAGCTCATACGATGACCAGACTTGGAAGAAACAGTTCCTTAAACCTGAATTACATACATTACACTTGGGAAAATTTCTTGAAAAACTAAAACCAAAAAGTTATATGAGGGCGAGGTTATAGCAATACTTACTAGTTACTACAATGGAAGATTTACAACAATCTAATTTACACAGAGCAAAATTATATTCGCAAAGATTCAAAGTCTAGCAAATAGATCTACCACCCATAAGGGTAAGTAGCGACAAAAACAACACCATATACTTGTACACCAAAACAGATTCCCTTCAAGTTATTCGTGCCAATTCATTAACAGGAATGTACAAGTACACAAACAAATGACCCTTGGAAAAATGGTAAAGTGCCAAAAGTTCCAAAAAAAAATCTTACCGTTGAGTTTATGTAATCCACGAATGCCTGTTTGTAATTGTCATAAAGCTGTTGAGAATAATCATGCGGGGGCTTCTGAGTGCACATGTTATATATTGTCCTACATTTAAATTAGATACTCAGTGATGTGCAACTAATTATCCTAAACTAAAACATGCTATAAATAACAGATAAGGCACCCACGTGTACAGCATCATGTAGTCTTCAGAATTAAAAGGTGGCTCCTGTAATCCTTCCAGAATCCTTTTTAACTTTGTAATCCCCTTCTCCATGAACTCCCATCCTTGCTCTAGTTCAATAACTTTACGATCGTTCATTTTTGTATCTAATTGATTGGCTTATCACCTATAACACAACACGAAACAAACAGGTTAGCTACAAATTTGTCTTAGACAACTGATCATGATATCTACCACTAAATCATAGAACAGCCCAAACAAGAATTTTAGTCATTAAATGATATATAATCATAATAAATCCCAGATATATATCTATTAATACAACAGCCAAGACTATTAATGCATGCCACGTCAACATATAATGATAATAACACAGTTGATTAACACATAATAAAATAATCTCTCAATCTAACTTGGATTATGGGCATAAAAAAAAAACCATAAATCCTTTCTTCCCCTCTCCTCCCAGAGGTAAAGGAGTCAGAATGAATTACGAACACCATCAGATATAATTCAATTCCATAAAGATTGAGCATTTAAACTAGTTTGGGCAATTCGGCATATACTGGGACTGAATTTAATTCCCTACAAGTACAATATACTTGGAAAACCCTAAAGTCTACAACTTTATCAGTGTAACCAAGCAAATGCTTACCAAAAAAAATTTAAAATAAACAAATCAAATTTCGGATGCTCATTGAGAGATCTATGAACCTAAATTAGAGGACAAAATGGCATAAATTTCAAAAAACCCAATCAATTATCCAATTATCATTCAAAATCCTAAAAAATTCACTTAAAAAAACAGAATTGAAGACCTTATACATAATCTACCATTCATCCAAACAGCTCAATACAAAAACCCTAACTTGGGTTTAGCATCATTACATCCACACACCCAAAATCGAAAACCCTAACCCCCAGAAATGAATCGAATTTATCCAAACTACCTCACAAAAACCCACCAATCAACAAAAAAAATCCCCCCAAAACAACCCATCAATCCCAAAATGATCGAATTATCAAAAAATGATCAAACAACAAACAAATCCACTAAAACAATCGAAAAAAAACAGATACATAAAAATTAAAGCTTTAGAGCTGAAGAACAAACAACAAGTACTAACCTTAACCAGTAAAACCTAATTAAAAAAGGGAAAAATAAGAAAGAAGAGATCACCTGAGATAGAAAGGTGATGTCACCGGCAACCGGTGGAAGGAGGAGAGAGAAAGAAAAATGAGGATGTGTTGGAACTTGGAAGTGATGAAAGAGTAATTGTGTGTCTGATTATCTGTGTTGTAGTAAACAAAACCCCGATTGTGTTATACCTTTACTCCTTTAGATTCAACTATTCTTCTTTTAAGACATGTTTTTTCTACTCATATGTATATACTTCAATCAATACTTGTAATAAGGTAATCTTGTTTAAGGTATTTTTGGATAATGTTTTGTATATAAAAGTGTGTTTTTGGAAGATAAACTCCAATAAGGAAATGGTAATATTACTCCGGATTTCGTAAGTTTTAAGTATATATGTTTCTATTACGATCTGAACAGTTGTGAATATCGATATTTGTAGCATATGAAAATGACACTTGATGGATTGCATGGAAATGTTAGATTTTTTTTTTCTTTTTGTAAATTTCTCATATCTACAGATGTTGTGTGATTTATGTCGGCATGTGTGTTAGATTACCTGCCTTTTAAATTCGGTGTTCAACTTACAGTTCGAATATTAAGATAAGTACTCGATGATATTAATGGACATCGTCTACCAATTTCCTTCGAGGGAAAACTAATGTTAAACCATCAAAAGTTTTTGGATTTCTCATCGAGCATTGTATCAAGTCTTAACTCTTTTAGTACGGGCAATTTTTATGTATAAAATTATGAAGCATAACTACATGGGGTAATTTAGGTGAAGCATAATTGTATAAAATGATGAAGCATAACTAATGTGAAACTTATTTACAATATAGTCACTAGATAAACAATTCATAAGATCAACTTGTATTTTCCCTACATACATATCTTATCTATGGCTATACTACTCTCCATCCGTGTGTTATTGTATTGACGATGATTTTTAGATGAAGTCAATGCAAAATAAATAGTATGTTTGACAATACTTGAGTATAATAGTCTTATAGAGAAAATGAGGATAGTTTGCACAAAATCATAATACATCTCATCGACTAATTAATGCATAAGATATTAAGATGAGACTTTTAAAAGTGCTCTTGATAATTGATGTATGATTTGTAATTTGTATAAGGAGTTCTTTATTGTTAAATGCCTTAATGATGTGTGTAGTTTTACAAAATTATACGTGTTGGCATTTTTTTTTTTAATAATCATGTTTAGGCTTACTTGTCTTATGGAGTACTCCTTATTACTCAAAAATCTGGGCTAATTACCCCTCATAATTAAAATAGAAGATCCAATGATGCTGATACTAATATATTCATGGTTCGAAGGGCATTTGATAAAAGCTAGATACTTGATTGTTTCGAAATCTACTAGCTGGACTTACAGACCAAGGAATGTGAGGAATTGCTGGATATCACACTCTTTGTAGGCAATAGTCCGGCTACCTCTGTTGAGGCTAAGGTTCAATGCATGCAAACCTGATTCTATATATTCAATGACGATTGTTTAAGCCATTACTTGTAATCGAGTTTATACAACCTGTAACTGTTGGCACGACTGATGGCTTCAAAACTCAAAAGCCTAGATGTATACTGTATAGTTTATTGAGCTACGAATGCTGAGAAGAGAAAACAAAAAAGACTCAATTTGCAATATACACCTCAAGGTAGCAGCTAGCAAGTGACTAGTACACATATTCCGATCTAGAAAGGGAGATAGCCAAGCTTCTCTTGGTTGCATCCCCCATAGTAAGCTCAATTTTCTCATGTAGTTTCATGTAGATGGCACAGAATAGCAAAAACTATATCGAAAAAGCTCCAACTCTCAAGGTTGTGACGGACAAGGGGAAGTTGGAGGCTTGAAATCTGGATACTGCAACAAGAAAAGGATAAAAATCAAAACTAGTTCAGCAATTTCTCAAAGAAGAAAGAAAAGGTAAGATAATTACTGCAGCGTATGGTGAAAGCGGCCTTGGATGTGATACTGTATTAACTTCGTTCTGGGGTGTGGAGTTGATTTCTGGGGCAGGTGCTTCTGCTACTGGTTCAACAGCAGGCTGTGCAGTTGCTTCTGCTACTGGTTCCACGGCAGGCTGTGCAGTTGCTTCTGCTACTGGTTCCACGGCAGGCTGTGCAGTTGCTTCAGCTACTGGTTCAACGGCAGGTTGTGCAGGTGCTTCTGCTTGTGGCTCAGGGACAGACTCAGCTTTCTGGAAGCTGTTTTCAGCAACAGCAGCTTCAGGGGCTGCCTCTGCAGGTGCTGGAAGAGACTTGCTATTCACGTTTATTGGTAGAAGGGCGGTTCCTATTTGCTGCAATCAATATTGAAATTTGAGACGATACATCAGAGAACTTGAAGTATCACTTAAAAAAGCATAAAACTGCCAAAGCCCCATTCATGTTGGAATAAATGTGTTATTGAATATTGATGACTTACCTTTACATCTGAAACGAGCTCATTGGGAGCAACCTTGGTGGTCAGGAATTCATCTACTTGTTTCAATGTTTGTTTTCTATCCTGTCAGGAGAAACCAGAATAACATAAGTAAAATAAAATTTGTTAGATACTCATACTGTAGTTACGTAGAGGGTCCTAATACTACCAATGCAATTATTCAGATTTTCATAAAAAAAACACATACACGATAGACGGCATTGATTGGGGCCAAATGGGTATCCAATAAATCAATGATCAATTTTTTCAGACATGAACTGTCACTTGTTTCCTATGTTAAACGCTTCAAGCTTAAATAACATAGCCTATGTTCTTTTCACCTTAAGAAAATAAGTTTTAGTAATATCAGCTACAACAAAGCTGAGTTCAAGTCACAGTATTCGGTAAAAGGTAAAAGAACGAACACTTAATAATGTTCACAATAGTGTTATATGCCTAAAATGTCCAATATAGACAACTAACCTCTGCAAATAAAAGCTTCTTGCTAAGCAGCTGCACAATTGCTGCAGAGCCTAGCAGTTGGAGAACAGTTTCCATCTGAAAAGGAAAACCAAACATGATGAATCACTTGAAATAAGATTGCAAGTCTCTATTCTTGAAGTGAATATAAAGATTTAACCTCTGTAAAAGCCAACAAACCCAATCCAGCAGCTGCTGCTGCGCCAATCCCTAGTACTGGTAACGTATCAGCGCTCTCCTGCATTGTAGAAACTCCTTAGAATTTGTAAAAATACAAAAAAAAAAAAAAAAAAAAAAAAAGGCTCCCTGTGTCCTATAATTTTCTTCACAGTTCGACTTTCTTGTCAAAGTTCTTCCATCAAATTTGATGGCATATTGTTTAATATATATTATTTCACATCATGTGTATAGATTAGTGTTGAAGAGTGAATACAGTGAAAAGCAAATGTGGAGAATTCAGGGACCAAGGAAGTATGCATGCATCAACTAAAGAAGTTTGGCCCCAATGTTTGGACCTTTAAAACAAATCATTTTCCCGAAAAATAGAAATTCAAATAGCCATATCTAGCTCGAAGTACAGTTTCCTTTGAGTCTTTAAGCAGCAACAAGATATTTTATATATTCATAGAAGAGCCAAGAAACATACATCAAACCCAAATGCTTCCGTCAAACCACTAAAATCAAGGCTGAATGTTTTCTTTGGTTGAAGCCAAGGGAGACTGCTATTCTGCAATGCAGAAATTCATCTCATTAATCCATAAGTGAGTATTGAAGTATCGACGTTTAAACTCAAAAGAAAAAAGAAATACTATATAACTTTTGAAGATTGGAAGAAGAGCAGGACAGACCATCCATCCACGAGGTCCCTCTGCTCCATCTTTGATAGCATAAGCGGATTTGAACCCATTTGCAGTCACCAACTCTGCTACTAACTCAGAGTTTCCATCAAATCTAACAGAATCACATAAAAAAAACATTGATATTATTAGCAAACAGACTTCTGTTCATGAGATCATTGTCACATAATAACCAAATTTGGACATTTCAGAGATTTCGGTAGAAAATGGTAACAATGTAGTACAGCTGTTGCAGGTTAGACAGCATTAACAAAACACACTCTCTCCATTATTGTGAGGGTAATGCTATGTACAAAGTACACAGTATGTCTTCCTCCCACCTCACCCCACCCCACCCCGCCTAAGCCATGATACCACGGTATCTTTAGAAGTATTATGATAATGCTAATGTTGTACACCATAAAACATCAATCAGTACAAAATCTTTATTATCATAACGGTTAGGTTGCTGACATCCTATCACCCGTTTCCCTATCTAGAGGACGCTGTCAATCCAAGGTATAGAGATAATGTTGATGTTGACATGGACAAGTTAACAATGTATTAATGGCCCTAAAATCTATAATCAAACTCATCAAACAATGTATCATACACACTCAAACTGATCTTCAAACAATAAATTCTATCTTCTCTATCACTCAAAACGCATAATGAAATCGAAAAAACACTTCAATCAATTGTTAACAGAAAGTCAGAAATGATTAGATTAGCTTTGTAAGGATATAAGGAAATTCAAACCAAGTCAAAAATATAGAAAGAACACTAAAAAAAAATTGAGCTAAGGGTTCTCACTTGTCTAGGATATACAAAGTAGTATTCTCAGGATCCTTAAACTTCAAAGATAACTTCTGCAAGAACCCTGGCTTATCTTCACCTTTATACACAATCGATACCGCCTTCTTCTTCAATCCTCGAATATCAGGACTACCAACTTCCCTCAACTCCTTTAAGGGTCTAATATCAAGAAGCTGAGCATTAGGCTCATCAGCCAACTTAGCATATGCAATTTTTGCAGACTGAACACCAAATGGCTTGGGTTTACCCCCAAAAACTTGGGATAAAAGCAAGGGAACAGCAATTACAGCAACTCCACCAGCTATAATTAGTGGGTTTTGAACAATTGTTTCAACAACACTTCCTGCATCAAATTCAGCCCCAGGATCTGCATTTACTGATTGTTCTAATGCTTCTTCATATGTCAGAGCACCAGCAAATTTAGCATTCAATGCAGAAGAAGCCAAAAGAACTAAACTTCTATGAAATTTTCTTGCAAAATCTTCTGTAAATTTTGGTGGGTTGATTGTAATTTGTGGGAATTTAATAGAGGGAAGTGTTGGAATTTGTGAAAATTTTCTGGGTTTTCCTCTTTGATCGTGAACAACACATATTGGCTTCAATCCTACTACATTGAGAGCCTCCATTGCATAATTTTTCCCAGAAAATTTCTGAGGTTCTCAATTATATTCAAGTTTTTGTCTTTTTTTTTTAATAAAAAATTGAAGAATATTTAATTGACCATGAAAGATACTTGTAAAAGTTATGAAGCTATCTTAGTTACAAGTTGTAAGCTAAGCCAAAAGAATTGGCTTCACAGAATGCAAAGTGTTTTTGGCTGGGGTGGAAGGTGATGACATGGAAGCAAGATCATTGGTTGTCCACCAGATGAATGACACGTGGCATGAAAGGATGAGATGTTGCTGATTGTCTAGAATGCACGATGTCATGATATCATGTAAAATATGATTCTGTGGATAACATTTTAGATGGTTTATGAACAATAATTTAGAATTTCTGGGAAAATACTAGAGCTTAAGCTTAATAACAGTACCAGAGTTACAACTTACAAGGGAGTACAGGCAGAAACGTCCTGAAACAACCATCTGTTTTGTACTACGCTTAGTTGTCTACATTTTTTGTACTACGACTAGTACTCCGTGTTTTATTTACTTTCACTTTTATATCGATAATAATCTAATCTGGTCTAATTTGATGAAGACGACCCTAACATTATGCAAATGTATACGGAGTATTGTATTACAAACAAGCATTTTATACTATTTTAATCAGGAAAAAATTACTAGAAATAAGCAAAAAGAAAGAAAAAAAAATACCTATATTAGAGAAGAAAATTTTGTTAATGATTTATTTTTCCAAAATAACAGTGGTAAACTTTAGCGTTTAAAGCATTGCATTTAGCCAAATCTCTAAGATAAACTAACCTAGAGCATATATGCACCAAGGTACATCTAGCGCTAGGAGCACCCACTCTTATTTAACTACTGATACAATGTTCTATATATATGAGCATGTGAGTTTTTTAGGTGAGATTGTGCACCTTATACATGAGGTGTAAAAGAAATTTCTGTTAAGCTTGTTCCATTTGAGATTTTGAGTGAAGCCTTTTTTTTTTTTTTTTTTTTTTTTTTTTGAAGATTGTTCGTATTTATAAATTATAACTGATAATCAAAAGTGATTTGAATGCAAGCTCATCATAACACCAAGTTCACAAATGTCAAGTGTACAAAGAATAGAACTTAGCAAATCATGCCATAATTAACATAGATATACTTCGTACAATTGTACCAACCTTTTTCTACTCTTTATATCCAACTCTGTAAACTTTTCAGTGAGCTTGGGTCAAGCCTGTTACATCCTAGAACAGCTTTACAAACAAAGCTATTACTAGGCTAATACACCAGTCTAACCTAGATAGATAAGACAGTAAATTCAGGTAAAACACTGGGTTGGGTTAGAAGTGTGCCTAAAGAAGATCAAAGAAATAATCTAGTCCTTGGCCCATTTCCCAGATTGAGATGCCAGCCCCCCATGAACGTGCTTCCTTTAGTCGCTCTGCTATTGACATCAACGTAGGATAGAAGACTGCATGTTCGTGGTGTTGATCATCAGAATACACGAAGAAATGCTCCGCAAAGTCCTTTTGCCACCTCATGGTGGGTTTGTGTTGGTCCACTAAAGAGAGATAGTCCTTGCCAGTAATTGCTCGAGCACCACCACCTAGAAATTGAGACAGCCGTCAAAAGGGTCTTAAGCTCTAAAAGAAACTAACAAACCATAATGCACTCAGTACTCAAAAAAATGCCAAGCTAAATTAGGGCACTTCTTCCACAAAATTGCTTGTTCTACAACTTGTACTAAACACTCCTTCAAAACCAGTATTCACACTTGGAGGAAAGAAACTAATAGGTAAAGCTAAGCCTTTTCAAGCAAATTCAAATTAGCTAATCAAGAGGTATACATAATAAGGACTGCATCAAGAATATGATGCTTCCACTATTTGTATAGCTGAAAAGGCAAGTAAAGGACCCCTTTCTAAGACCGTCCTAGTCAGTACATTCATCATTCCTAGTATATTCCTCAGTAAAATGTAACACTAACTTAAAATTTGCTCAATGAATGCATTCAAAAGAAGAGAAGATAAAAAAAACAGCATACCTTCAGCTATTACATAATCGTTCCCGTAGAAATTGATTCCAACAAATATCTTGTTTGCAAGGCTCTTTCCACCTTCACCAACGAGGAGTTTTATCGTGGAATGCACCCAAGTCAGTGGTGCATTAGGACCAGGACTATAAGGACTTGAGTAGTCATATGTCATTAGTGAGAAACCATCTACAGAGTCACTGAGGGTCCGCAAATCCTCTGGTCCAAAATCATGAGCTTGAAGCTTATCAGACTCAGAATATGGAGGACCAATGACATACACTAGCTGCAGTGGCTGACCATTCCTTTGTGACCTGACATTATGCAGGGAATCTCCAAGTTGCTTTACGAATTGTAGTGCCTGCAAATCCCGAAGCAAAACTAAGAACATCACATAATCTATTGCATTTAGTGACCTCGTTTTTATTCATACACTGTAACAAATTTGCTGGAAAACCTAACATGTGCTTTTTGTGTGATAGAGTTAGATTGTCTTAAACCCCTAAGAAATAAATCAAAAGATTGAATGGGTAAGATTTAAGAACAGTGTAGATGAGGAAGCAAAGCACTGGGATGTCTTGTACAATAAGAATCTAAAATGCCCGCCCATACCACCTTGCTTTCAATGTGGAAGAATTCAAAAAAATAGTAACAGTCAATAACTCGGTCATATTCAACAAAATACAGTCCCTGAGTTCTGTAAACCTACAAATTCATGCAACAACAATGGTGCAGCATCCCCATCAATCCCAAGAACCTAGTGAGTAATTTTCCATTTAAGAGCACTAATGTGTCCAAGGAACAAAGGTGAAAGATCTAAATATAAAATACTCTTTAAAAGTTGTAGGCATTGCTCCGGCATAATTAAACATGAGCAGTTCTCCCAAGGAATAAAAAAAAAGAAAGTCACTCACAGCACAATTGAAATATATTAAACAGTTGATCTCTAATTAGATGGTATAGAGAAAAGTCCTATAATACCAATTTTCGCAAAGAAGCATCATGGAGAACACCATGAGCAGCCCATCTTGACCAAGATTCTAGGACAATCCCATCATAGCCTATATCCCTGTGCAAAAAAGTATATAAACAAATGGTGAGATATGACCACCAAAAAACTATTACAGTGCACAACATTAACACAACCATCAGCATCCAAATTCCTGTACTCATTTTGACTTTCTTCCAAACCAAAAACCTAAACTGAAAATTATATCTTAGAAAGAACAAATTTCAGAATAATATGCTTACTTGCACTCTGTTATAAGCAGGTCAATAGCTTTGTCCCTTTGTTTCTTGTTTCTGAGCAAGTCCTTTGGCACTGCTTCAAGGACTACTCTTGGTAAAATCTACACATCAAAGTTTATTCAAGAAAAACAGATCATCCTATTAACTTAGACATTCCACAAAGAATAAATAGGGGAGAGAATCTACTCACAAAGACAAAGGCAAATAGTATACATGTATTTTGCAAATTCATTATAGTCGCTATATGCCTATATGCACTTAATTATAAATCCTGATACTAAAAAGTATGCTGGGCGGCAAAGATGAAGTGACATGCAGAAAGAAATTTGAGTTCATGACTCTGCAATATAAAATTTTCATCTAAGTACAATAAGCTGGCCTGTTACCTGAGCATTTCCTCTCAGTCTCAGCTCAGACATCCATCCTGTATCAGCATTGTGTCTTCCCTCGAGAACTAATTTTGTCCCTTGACTGACCACATGTAAAATAAAATTAGAAATATATTAAGTATTTAATAAAAAATAGAAACATTGTCAACAAGAACACTATAAAAAATCCTCTCTTCCCTTTTCTCTTCATCGCTCACACACACAAAAGGGGTAAGGAATGAAAATAAAAGCAAATAAATTGATTTGTGTTGCACCCAAGGGAATAAAAGTACCAAAAAGAGGAAATAATATAAGAACACAGCAATTGTCATCTACTGAGAATAAGACCTAGCCTGAAAATTGTGAAATGGTGTTCACTGCAGCATACCTCTTAAGATCATACCATACAGGAGATAGATGTGTAAACTTGGGGCAGAACCTTTTTGCTAAATCATAACCAGCCGAGTTCCTGCAACATTTGATTAGGTTGGAACTATCAGTATTGGACCCTGGTTTAGCAAAAACAAAGAAACCGAGAAATGCTTGATTGAAACCTAGAAAGGAAACAAAGCAATAAGAAATCAAGGCTAATTCAATTACCAATATAAGGTTTATTAGGATACTAAGAGCTTTTATCGTCCAATTGCAAAGTATAAACTTTAGTCCTACATTTGTTAGATAGGTGCGAGATTTGTTGCTTAGACAAGTTCCAAACCCCATTCTTCGCAAAATATAGCGCTCTCCCAGAGGTCAGCACTAATCACACCAAAGCTAATCCAAAAAACAAGTACTTAAGTTCACGTCTCTTCGGCTCATTGAGCTAGCTTTCGGAATTAGCTCGTCCAAATTACAAAAAATGCCCAAGCACAAACACATACAGAATTACAGAGCCATAACTAACCCAATAATGCAAATAGTCCCAAGGTCTTTCTAGAATTATAGTGTCTTTATATTAGGGTTTAGGGTTACATATTCACAATTCATGATCAAAGTTCAAAATTCAAAATTCAATTCATTTCATAGAAATTAAACGAATGAAGAACAAAAAAATTACATGAACAAAAAAATTGGAGTGAGAAAAGTAAATTACCAAGGAGTAATGTAAGCTAATACAGGATTGGTGAAATGCCGTTGAGTAACATTTTCAGAAACCCTAGAATTCTCCTGCATTGCTTAAAATTAACCCAAACAATCAATCAAAAACTCAAACGAAAAACAAATCAAAGAATTCATCACCAAAACTAAATTAAATAGAGATTTTACAGTGAGAATCTCCTGGAAAGTGACATCTTCTTTGACGAGACCTCGTTGATGCGCGAATGAAGGAGGAAGAGAAGGGTGGTTGATACGGCAGTACAAGAATGCGGATATGGCGGAAGATACGACGAAGACGACGGCGATGATGGTGAGGAAACGGTGGTTGTTGCTGCCATGGAAGTTTTTGGGGTCGGAATTTGGAGGTTTAGGCTGCGGAGTTGACGGATCGACTCGGTTGCGACGGCGAGTTGCGTCGGATTTTGGTTGCTTCTTTGTCATCGGAAATTGATGATCTTGCGGAGAAGATGATGAGATCAGTTGCAGGGGTTTAAGACCCGCGAATACACTTAAGCCAATACAGTGAAAACGACGTCGTTTCAGTACGACTGTACGAGTAGTACTCTTCTAATTTCTCAACGACAATTCTTTTTTTTTTTTTGACTTGTGCATAACTGCATATGCTTAAGGTATTAAAAACATGTCCGTATTTTATCATTAACATACTTATTGACCTACTCCGTACTTAAGACTCTCAAACGCTTCAATCCCATAATCACTGAAATGAATAATTAAAGAGTTCATTCACATAATCACTCAAACGCTTCAATCCTATAATCACTTCAAACTTTTCCCAACTCGTATAATTAAAGAGTTTGTTCACATTTATTGAACTAGATTGATTGGAACTAAACGAGAATGAAATTAAGAGCTACACTAAACTGAATTAATTGGATGTGAACTGAATTTAAACTGAAGTGAACAGACCCTAATTCTCTCACTCCACCAAATAAACCACCACTACGACCACTAATTTGCGTAATAACCACCACCGAGCACCACTAACCACTAAGAGGCAAGGAAAGGAGTATGAATTATGAAGTGGAGAAACCATGCCAAGAAATTGTACAGGCAAGAAAATCGTTGGCGATCATGTAAAAAAAATTTACTCATCATTTATCGTATTGTTATGGCTACGGGTTTCAAATCCCCGAGTAAAAAAAAAAAAATTAAAAAAAAAAAAAACTATGACTCAATCAAGTGCTTAACAAGATACGGAGTACTCCGTAAGTCCGTAATATTAATAACCTTGTTTACTCTCCTAACCGTATCGGGTCAACCAATAAGTTCCATCCTAAACTACACACAGATAAAACCTTATCCACACACTTAACAGTTAATAACACCATAACAATGGTGGTCCAAACATGGAAAACCCGCCTAAAATTCCCGCTTAACTCTCATTTCTTCATTCACCATCTTCAATTTCTCCAATGGAAAAACTTTCTGCCATTACTTCTACTTCTAATACCTTCAATTGCTTCACTTCCCCTGTTCTTCAAACCCCTTCTTCCTTCTGGAAATTTCCCAGAATCAATTCTTCTAATTCGCATCTCCCCCTTGTTTCTGATTACTTTGATGATCCTGGGAAGATTAATTCGATTCATTTAGTCAACCAATTGAATGCCCAGGTGATTAAATTGCCCCAAATGGGGTATTCAGATGAAATTTCCCAGGTATTGATTACTTCTTACTTGAAATTTCAAGATTTTGAGTCTGCTTTGATGGTTTTCTTTCTGGGTTTTCGGAGGAATTTTGTGGTTTGGAAGTCGTTTTTGGAGGAATTTAAGAGTTTTGGAGGAAACCCAATTGAGATTCTTGAGGGGTTTTGTGAATTGTATAGGAAAGGAGTGGAATTTGATAGTAAAATTCTTACTGTTGTGTTGAAAATATGTGCAATTTTGATGAGTAAATGGTTAGGTGTTGAAATTCATGCTTCATTGATTAAGAGGGGTTTTGATACAGATGTTTATTTGAAGTCTGCATTGATGTATTTTTATGGGAGGTGTTGGGGCACAGGCTATGCAGATAAAGTGTTCGATGAAATGCCTGAACGAGGAGTCGCGCTGTGGAATGAAGCCATTGTCGCGGCTATTCAGAATGAGAATTATACGAAGGCTCTGCAATACTTTCAGGAAATGCAGTTTATGTCTGTGAAAGCTGATACTTTTACTATTAGTAAAGCTATACAAGCTTGTGCCAAAGGAAGAGCTATTGATGAGGGGAGGCAAATTCATGGGTATATGTTTAGAAATGATATGGAAAAGGATTTAGCAATATGCAATTCTTTGATAAACATGTATGCAAAAAACAACATGGTAGAACTAGCTAGGAAAGTTTTCGATTCTATGGATAACTGCAGTTTATCATCATGGAACACAATGATATCTGCTTATGCTTCGGTTGGTTTTTTTGATGATGCAATGGAGCTATTTCATAGGATGGAGTTTCACAATGTGGAACCAGACATAGTAACATGGAATTCCCTCTTGTCTAGTCATTTACAGCATGGGTTATACCATCAAGTTTTGAACATTCTACGCAACATGTTGGCAAAATTACAGCCAAATTCGAGCTCCATCACCCCTGCAATTCAAGCAATTAACGAGTTGAATTGGATCAAATTAGGGAAGGAAATGCATTGCTATGTTCTTAAAAATGGATTGCATTGTGATTTGTATGTGCAGACAACATTATTGGACATGTACGTCAAGAATGGTGAATTGGTTAAAGCTCGAGCATTGTTTGACCTCATGAAGACTAGGAATATTGTTGCCTGGAATTCTTTAATTTCTGGTTATTCCTCAAACGGTCTATTTGATGATGCTGTGAGGTTGCTGAACCAGATGGAAGAGGAAGATATAAATCCAGATATGATGACATTGAACTCTCTACTTTCTGGATATTTGGTGAATGGCCGTATAGAGGATGCATTAGCTGTGGTAGCGAAAATGAAGATTTTGGGAATGGAACCTAATGTTGTTTCATGGACTGCTCTTATATCAGGTTGTTCACAAAACGGAAAATATAAAGATTCATTAAGTTTTTTCAAAAAAAATGGTGGAAGAAGGTATAAACCCTAATGCTGCCACCATAACTAGCTTACTTCAAGCTTCTGCAGGTATGTCTTGGCTACAAAAAGGAAAAGAGATCCATAGTTGGTGCTTAAGAAACGGGTTTGATGAAGATGTGTTAGTGGCCACAGCTCTGATGCAGATGTACATTAAATCAGGAAGTCTGCAGAGTGCCTCAGATTTTCCGGTGGATGAAAAACAAGACAATTGCTACTTGGAATTGCATGATTATGGGGTATGCAGCTTACAACCATGGAGAAGAGGGTATTATGCTTTTCAAGGAAATGCGTGATCTGGGAATTCATCCTGACGCCATAACTTTTACTGCTCTCCTATCATGCTGCAAGAATTCAGGTTTACTTGATGAGGGCTGGAAATATTTTGATAGTATGAAAGCTGAATACTGCATAGTGCCTACAATTGAGCATTACTTGGCATGGTTGATCTTCTAGGAAGAGCTGGATATCTTGATGAGGCGTGGGATTTCATTAAAACAATGCCTGTTGAACCAGATGCTTCTGTTTGGGGTTCACTACTTCAATCCTGCCGAGTCCATAACAACTTGAAACTTGGGAAAATTGCTGCCAAAAACCTCTTTGAACTAGAACCAAAAAATTCTGCTAATTATGTTATACTGATGAACTTATATTCAATGTCAAGCAGATGGGAAGATGTGGATCGTGTGAGAGAAGAGATGACTGCTCGGGAACTGAGAATTCAATTTGGGTGGAGTTGGATAGAAATTTACCGTAAAGTTCATATTTTCAATGATGAAAAACTTCATCCAGATACAGGAAATATATACTTTGAGCTGTATCATCTGATCTCTGAGATGAAGAAAGCAGGTTATATCCCGGATATCAAATCAGTGTACCAAGATATTGATGATGCTGAAAAAGAAAAAGTACTGTTATCTCATACTGAAAAATTAGCCATAACCTATGGGTTGTTGAAGATGAAGGATGATTCACCAATCAGGGTAATTAAGAGCACTAGAATGTGTTCTGACTGTCACACTGCAGCAAAATTTTTCTCTGTGTTAAGAAAACGTGAGATTATCCTTAAAGATGGTGTTCGATTTCATCATTTCCGGGAAGGAAGATGTTCTTGCAATGACCATTGGTAGCAAGGGCTCTAACTTGTTCTTAATTAGGATGTATATGACTGGATTATAGACATAGTGAATACACATTTGATTTTTGCTTCAAAGCTACGAGTCATTTGCTCAGTTCAGACTTTAATACATGGTTTAGTTAGCAAATTTGAGCATATATAATGCATTTAGATTCTTCTGCTACATTTACAGATGGGTGTATAGCTGTATTAATTATGTACCAAATATTCTTAAGCAGTTAAGCACATGTGTACTTTTACCTACAAGTGTGTTTCCTAAATCTAAGTCTGATGAAATTATTGTGTTTAGTTGATGCAAGCTTTTCTCCCTCTTTTTCTTTTGCTTACTTTCTCATTTCAGGAGGTATCTAATGCATGGTACAAGTGGTTTATCAACCATTTTTTGGATCAAATCAGTTGTCACAATTTTCTTTTTGCTGCACTTCTGCTGTATTAATTCGTTTACTACCCCTTTCTTTTCCTTTGATTTCCTCCCTTCCAATCTTATTGTGATTATCACCTTTTTCGATTTGATAAACCTTGCTTGAATTCATTTAACAACAAAGTTTTAGACTCAAGCATCTCTTCCAATTCACTAAACAAAAACACTTTGGAGATTTAAGCTACTCAGACCTCTTTCAACCAAACACCTCAACGAGATTTTTAAATTTTACAAAGGACCTTCAAAACTTAATTGCAATCATGAGATTATGCTCAAGACTAATGAAAATAAGGACTGGAATTGGCACTCAATGACTCGAGATTCTTACTGTCACACAATATTTGATGATTTGAATTGAAATCTAGCATACAAATACAATGATACAAACACAAGAAAAGACAATGTATATGCAACGTGTGTGAATATAGTAAATAAAACAAAGAAAAATGTGAGATAATTCCAACCAAATTTCCACATGTTAAGTAAACATGATAAATGGGACCAATTACAATGTCTTCATACTTCACCCCTTATCTTTTTTGCCTGGCAACTGGCATATGTTGGATGATTGGCTCACTCTTGAAAAAGTGATCGTGTGACCTACCATTGTTGAAGACTTCAAGTGCTTCTTACAGAAAAAGCTCATCAAGATAGTATGACTTAATCTAATTTGGCTCATTGTTTACCCAAATATATCCACTTCTACTATATTGTGTAAATGTAAACATAATCCTAGAGAGTTGGCGAACTTGTCTATATTAGTATAGTTGTATTTAGACGGAAAAATAAGAAACTACGATCAACAGTATTTAGTTTAAGTAGGGTCTTAAACTCTGAAACTAAATTCCAGTAATAGAGACTATCTAGTACAGAGTATCTAATTTATGTACTCTACATTTTAAGATTGCGAATTTATGCCTTATCTATGTACAACTAATTAATTAATCCCTAAAACATATAGAGTGTAACAATAATGTAGCTGTAAAAAAAAGTGACTGTACTACCTTAGAGTTTTGTACTACAATAGCATATTGGCACTTGTACCATGTTGAAGATATGCTTTCATGAGATTCTTGGTTGGCCATTGTTTAATTATCTCAATTGGGGTTTGCTTTTCATGGCGTAAAATTAGTGTCACTTTTTATTCCAGGTATGCTCATTTTGGATATACCATTCAATAACTTCCACGTGGCACGTTTTTGTTCCTTTTATCTTTTCTTTTTGGTACCACTCGTTCAATTGCTTCTAGCACAGTGGCACTACAAAATTGCTAGAGTATTCATTCATGAAAACAAAGATAGTCCATGGAAATTAATATGGAGTATTATTAGAGGATAATTTTTTAGAATGAAATTCTTTATCTTATCAAAAATGAAATAAACTGAATTTTTTTTTTTTTTGCAAACAGTTCAATACAGAAAGTGGAAAATGACCGGTTTACCACATTTTATCTTTTATCCTAAAGAAAAATCGCAAGTACCCATTAAATAATTGAATAGTCCACCGAAAGAAGAGCAGTTGTCTCATGTCCTACAATTAAAATCCTTACGAGAAATGGACTTCAGTTCCAACTAAATAAGGTGCTTTCATATGCCGACTTTCATTATTCTAAACTTATTTTTCCTAAACTTACTAGCTATAGAAAGTTTGTGATGAAGCCAGATTCCTACCTTATGCTGTTATGCATAGATATTTAATATTATACTTTATTGCAACTTTCTCGTGCTCAGAAGCTTTAACTGATGGAAGTAATTTACAGATGCAAACTTAATTACCTTCAAGTAGAAAAGTTACATTCACACTTGCCACTACATACATGATATATCACTCTTGCAAGAGTGTAGTTTCATACATCAATTATGTACAACTGCAGCACTTGGAATAAACTTACATATACAGCAAAGGTTCATCAAGGATTGCTTTAAAAACAAGCTCACATAAAAATCAAGTAATCATGAAGCCTGGGAGGCAACAACTCCTGCATCCAAACCACGACGAAAAAAGGATGCAAACAATTGTCCATGACAATCTCCTCGAAGCTTCAAGGGATCAAGCAAGGATCAACGAAACAAAGAAGATTTCAAGTAACCAAACACGAGAGATTCATACTATAAGTCGAGTTCTTTGTGCCTGCTAACATGCATTTGCCATCCTCTCTGAGACATCAGCTAATGATTTGAGGTTACAGTTGATTAAGGCCTCAACAAAGTAGCATGTTTCTTCTTTAGTGTTCCCTTCTGGTACATCGACTACAAATGATTCTATGACTAATGTCCCCATCTTTCCATCGATTATCTCAGGGTGAACTGTAATGGTTGAGGAGTAATTCTGCAACAACAAATGAGATGTTCGATTAGCACTTAATCCACCAATGATAACACATTAATAGGTTAGTTACTAGTGAGGATATCTTTTTCTCTTTAATACTTCTAGATGCAGGGGATACACAAAAATAAGTCCAAGTGTCTTTACATTAACAAAGAATTATGCCAAATGTTATGATAATGTATGTGTTATCTATAAACACTGATACACTCGTTGAAGACTATCACTATCGCCTCAGATAACTAACATTTGCTCATGAGCCAATATATTTTGCTTCTTTATTTGTGAATCATTGAATCCAATAACTTTTGCCTCTAAGACAGTAAGACCACTCTCATTCATATCCATACTCGTCTTTAAATCTTTAATTGGAAGTGGACCACGATGGGGATGAGGCTTTAAGCCTTTTCAATTTCTGTGTTCTTCACTTTTCATATATGCCATCCCTCGAAATTGTCTTCTTGCTTTAATTGGTCGGTAGAGGAATTTGCAAGAATACTTAGGTAAAATCTTTCTCGAATGTCATTTCAAACTCAAAGAGCATCCAACCACATACACCATGTAATTAAAGCAAAATGGCCCAATCAAGCTCCCCTACAACTACTTTCATTCATCACTTAACTAAATTGACAGGACTAAAGGAAATATGGATAGATGGTTCTAGTTACACGTCGAATTCATGAACAACGGTTATTATAGACTTTATACTCGTTTTGCTTTGGAGGTCAATTCATAGAAAATAGATGGTAAATGTGTTCACAACTGACTTTTTGATATATCTTGAATACTTAAGCAAATAACATGATATGCAAGAAATCCATGAAGATAATAAAGCAGAGTTTTCCAGCATGTCATTGGATAATTTATCTAACATTAGTTTGATAAAATTATGAAAATGAACCAAAATAATCATACCTTGAGCCTGTGATCACCATCAACAATTCGGACGCTGAGAATGTGCTCTTCATCATCAAGAAGCTCCAATCTTTCAGTGCTAGTTGTGGCAGGGAGGCCTGATCTAACATCCACTTCTCTTATACTTCCGATCTTAAGCTCCCCACTCGCTTTGCACCGGCTTATAAATGGCTTATACTTCTGAGGTTGATCAAATCTCCTGACCAAAGACCATACCTAACAAACACACAAGACATCTCCTGATTAATAAAATGAATTTAGAACCATAACAAAAAAAAGAAAAACAAATTTAGTAACACAATGAATGAGAACTAGATCAACTTGAAGATTTTGAAGGACTTTTTCAGTTTTTTATTTGTTAGTATCATAACAAGATTAAAGTTCAACATCTCAGTCTAATGACTAGCTAGCTAGTTCTTACTGAGCTGATACAATACAGATTTGGTATCAAAGCTGTAACAATTTTTATGTTAATTCCTCCAAAACCCAAACGAACTCGATTTTTTAGTATTAACAGGACAATCGATTACACTTCATGTTAGACTTTTTTGCTTGAAACTGTCAAATCTATGTCGTGATACATATAGTATAAGCATATTGCTAGTACATTTCTTGAAGCATTTTATATTTTTATTCACCCTTTTTAGTAATAATGTAATATTATGACAACAATAATAATACAAACAACTAACTATTCAAGAATGACCTTAACAATCAAACTTAACCTTATAAAAACTCCCTAGAATTACTTAAACAACAATCAAATACTACCTCCGTTAACTTTTATTTACAACTTTGAAATATTTTGTCTCAGAAATAATACCCGTTACAAATAAAAGTTAACGGAGGAAGTAAGATAACTTACAAGAATAAACAGCATTATAGCGTATACCAATCGAAACTCGAAAAAAGATAGAATCGTTTAAATATAAATACAGAAATAATTATAAAGTTTTACTGTACACACATTTCAGACCTAAAACAACAAACATTACTAAAAACACCCGGAAACTAAATTCACCCATTTTCAGATCAAATAATAAAACCCAGAAATTAAACATCATAATAAACCAAATCCATAAAGGAATTAATGAAAATAATGCAAATGAATTCATTTAAAGAGAGAACAAAAATTTATATAAACTTACAAGGTCAACAGGAGCCTTGATGTGTTGAGTAAGAGCAGAGGAACACTGATTAGCTCCAATTTTGTGAGTATGGTGTCTTGAAATGTATACAGATTCCATTATAAGATAGATTTAGAAGAAATATAGCCCAGAATATTATTTATTTTGCTTCTTTTTCTTGAAAAGTTGGAACAATATTTGCAAGGAAAAAAAAAAAAAAAGCAGAGGAGTTTAATTCAAAAGCATGATCATCTTCTAGTTGAGAGAAGTTTTGTTTATATTCACATGAGTCATTTTCTGACCATTTAATTATTTTGTGGTTGTTTAGGGTGAGGAAGGAGAAGGCTAGGTTGACAAGGTGGTGATAATTGAGTGTGTAACAGACCAACAATTTTTGTTGATTGTGGGTGGGTTGAACTTGTGGGGTCATATTTATACTGTGAGCTACTTCCAAGTTGGTGGTTTTGGCATCTTATTGGCTGCAACTTGGATAATCTTTTTTGTCAGTTTTTAGTGAATGTTCAATAGTTATGGGAACAGGTCAACACTCAGCACTAAATTTGCAAAAAGAAAAAAAAAAAAAAAAAAAAAAAAAATTTGAATAAAGAGTATAGTGTTATTATTACTTTGGGCCTTTGAGGTTGTGGACTCTTGGCAAGGTTGAAGGATTGGATCTCCTTTACGTCTACTTTCTTTGGGGCATTAGACTCTATATGTTGTGTTTTCTCTGTCTTTTTTTGTTTGCCTTTTTCAGGAGAAATCACTTTTATTTCATGGTGAGAGATCAAAGTGGTGAGATTATATCATTATATGTAGTGGGTAAAAGAGTAGTAATACGGTCTTGTATAATTATTTTTAATGTGGAACAAAGTTAGAAGAACAAATCAAAAAGAAAAATAGGATAAGGATTAAGGGACTATGAGAGTATGTAGGAGTTGAATTGAATGATGTCATGCATGAACAAGCCTCATTAGATCAATCAAACGTATAGTCTTGCGATTTTAGATTATTATTCATCGTGCAAATCAATCCTTGAACGTACATGATGTGCACATTGCACACGCCCTCACAAAATGCAACTTGCATTGAAATGCGGTATGTGTAAACCAAAACGTGACGAGCACATGAGAGAATGTGTGTAAGTGTATTGATACACCCACAATGTCATGCTATTATCAAAATTAAATTATCTGAATTTATTAAAATTAGTTTATCTTTAACAATACGGTCTATCAAGTGGAAGCTAGTGTCAAATGGAATGGAACATGTGCCAAAATAAATGCGATAAAAATTGGTATCTATTATCTAAGCCTCAAAAGACACAATTATAGGTGTTTTAGTTAAAAAATAATCCAGTTGATAAAATATCATCTCTCATAATTCTCAATAACAAATTTTCACATTTCACCTATGGACAAAATTTTTGGTTGCTATCTTCTTGACCATAAAGCTAGCAAAAGTCGTGCTTATCTATTCATTGCTTATCCATTCCAACGAATGCACACGAAATGAAAGAAAGAAGCCTATGGATGGCAATCTAGTTCGGATGCGACCCTACTCCGCCCCGATCCAAGGTAAAATATCCGCTTTGAGTCCGAGAAAAAAGTAATTCGCGTTCTACTTCGTTAAAATAATCCGACTCCGAGTCGGAGGAGGGTCGGAGTCGGATCCTACAAAAAAAATCCGACTCCAACAAATGTCCGACTTTAACGGAATATCCGACTCCGACTCCAATAGACAGTGAATTTTTGTGTGGGTCATGGTGGCATTGGGTGTGGGTTGCAAAAGCCCAAATAGGCCAACATCTCAAAGTATATTGAATAATGAAAAAAAAAACTCGGAGTCGGGTCGGATCGGAGTCGGAGTCAGAATCGGAGTCGAATGTCGGATTTAGCATAATCCGCTCCGAGTCCAACCCGTTGCCATCCCTAAAGAAGCCCACCCCTTTGACTAAAAATATTGGCTATGGAAAAAGTAATGCAAATCTTTGTCTCTATATATGGAGAAATTTATAATAATGAACTTACCTAAATATTTTTCTGATTCTCTATTATATAATCAAAACTTAAATATTTATTTATTATTATTATTATTATTATTATTATTATTTTGTTTTTCTATTATATAATCAAATTATTGTTGATTTTCTTGATTATAATAAACGGTTGCGATGACAACCATTTATAAGTAATTTTGTGAAAAAAAAAACCTATATGTCAGTACGATAGTGTCCATGATACTGCTAGTTCTTCTATAAATATTTCATTTTATTCTAAATTTTTTTATCATCATGCATTACCAAGTGACCATATTAGAAATGGTATTATGTGGTAATGAAAATTCTTGAACAAAACACTGGTTTGTTTGTAGGTGAATTTCCATTGACATGAAAATGACCCTAGGATTGATTTCCTTGCAAAGTTACATACAAATTCAGTTCATTACCATTCGTGTATTTTTTTCATATAAATTTTCCAAGAAATGAATTGATTTTTCATGTTAATACATCACAAATAATATTAGTCAGATCAAAGTTGATGAAAAGTGTCAAAAATTAAAACGTGAAACAAAGATAGACGAATTAATTCGGGCAAATGTTGATGCAAGGATTCGATCCACACAATTAAATTACAAGCCCGTCAACTGCCATAGCAACTATAAAGTCTATAAGTCTACAATTGGCCTTATTCAAGTTTCAAGATTCTTGATAAGGGCCTTGGCCACTATAGGCCCGAACAGAGCATCGTCATTATGTTCACCCACTATAAGCCCAACATTTTTTTTTGAGGGAGCCCAACATGATTATGGGTCTGTTCACATTTACATAATTTCAGTTTAGTTCAATTCACCTCCTAAATTCCCTTTCTTATAAAATATTCATTTCAGCTCAATTCAGTTCAGGTCCAATCATTTAAGTTCAACTCAGTTCAGTAAATATGAACAAGCCCTATATCATAACCAATTGATGATATGTGAAGTAGCTTAACAATTTTTTACAAGTATATACTAATACTAAAATGTACTCATGCTAATGTATGAGATATTTTCTTGCAATGAAAATAGTTTTATATACTTTGGCTCCTAGAAAATTAATAAAATTGGTAGTTATTGACATTATTGTTATTGTTGTTGGTTGTTTTTTTTTTTCCCTTTTAAAACATAGAATGTGTAGATTTTGAGGATTAAAGATTTGAAGAGTCATGGTTAGAATTTATACAAAGACTAGAATAGACCCGGTCTACAATAATTTATTGTAAACCCAACCATCTTGTATACCACACGAATGTGATTATATCATACGATAAGTGATTATATTACTACCAAAGTGATTATATCATTTTGAAATTGTTATGTAAATGTATAACTCAAAAGGTGAATTTATCATTATAAAAAGTACTATCAAATAGTAAATTACATCATTCAAAACATGATTTTTAAATTTTATCATCCTAAAGATAATTATATTATCTCATTAAATGGTTTAATATGAGATTATATAATTCAAAATATGATTCACAAATAGATAATTATATTATCTAAAAAAGTGATTATATCATCCAGAATGTGATTATATTATTTGAAAGTGTCAAATTTTGGGTCTACAATAATTTACTGTAGACCGGGTCCATACAAGACCAATTGTAGAATTTAACAAAATGACTTTTATTTATTTATACTATTATACTCGTAGTTCATATGTTAGTTATTCTCTTGATATTTTTTTTTAAAATGTTAAAACAATTAATCACAACTCACATGTGAATTACTTATTAAATATTACCTCCGATTTTTTTAGTTGTAAATTTGAGATGTTATTTGAGAGATATATATATAAAATATTCTAAAGTTGCAATTAAAAAAAATCGGAGGTAATAGTTTGATTAAACAACCTTAACGCCAAAAATCTAACGCCTTGGTTGGTGGTATGATTAAACTCGGTGGAAACTCGAAATTCCCAATACATAGATGCTACACGGCGTGGTGTAGATCGTACATGTATAAGTATCCCATAGTCCCAAATAGTTAGAGCACCATTCATCCGTTGAAATGGGATGAAGATGCAAAGTATATGAAGCAAATACTTGAAATTTAGACAGACATGCACCCGTTTGATCTGAGTTCATGCAACCACACATTTGGCTCTTTTATTTCATTCATTTACTGTTATGTTCAGATCTGTGCTTTTCCTCTTTTGTCCCAATGTTTTGCTTTTTAGTTAGGATACCCACTACCAAACAATAAAGTATATTCCACCGACTATTTCTGTTGTTTCACAATTATGCCCCTTTCTTGTAATCTTCATCTTCTAACATTCATAGGTATTAGGTAGGCTGTTATAATCTTGTTCATTCATTGATAGTTAAGCTCTAATTCAGTTAACTTTAGATTAGTTTATTTAATTAATTTAGATAAGTTATGATAAGAGTTTTTTAAATTTAAATTATAACTAAAATAAGTTTTACTAATGTCTAATTAAGTGTAGATAAGTTCAATTAATTTTATATAAGTAAAAAAAAAGGTGAATAAAATACATCTATAATTAAATTAAATAAAATTGATTTGAATCGATGGAATTAAATTAAATTATACTGAAACTGATATAAGTAATTTTTTTTTTAAAAAAATTGAATATCTTATGCCTTGTTTTCTTCAGCTTAATTTTAGGCCTTGTTTGATAATTAGCGGTTAGCTGATTGATAAGAACTAGTTGTATTAGCTGTTTTGACTTGATGGTTAGTTGGTTACATTAGTTATTTTGACTAGCTGATTTGTAAGAGCTTTTTATGTAGAGTTGTCTGGTAAAATTAGTTTATTATTTGTAATTGTTTGTTAGTTGAACATATATAATGACAATTTAGGACATTGATAATTTTTTTTTTACTCGACTAAGTTCAAGAAATTGGGAGGGCAAGAATGTGAGTTAGAGTAACTTTTAGGATAAATCATTTCAGTTCATTTCACTTTATCTCAGTTTAGTAAATCAGAACAACGCCTTAATACGGAGGGTGAAAAGGTGGAATTAGGAAAAGACTGGTCCAAACTGAAAACACCGAAACCTCCGTTGTCCACGTGACAAGAATATTTGAGAAGGTTTAAGTCGTGGCCAAATTTCAATAAATTGATATATAAATACTAATACACCGTACTTTTATACCACAACTCTATTTCACAGATCACAATCATCGGATCTCAATATGAATGTCACTCTCAAACTTCTCTAATTTTTTTTACCAAACCCTGGCCCGACCCGGCCCACCACACACTTACATTCTCAAGCTCTTTCATCATCATGCATGTCGTCCATCCTTGATTTACATTGAATCAAACAGACTGAAATACAAATCCAGGTATTACTTTATAGTATTCTCTTCGTCTCTATTTGTTCTTCCTGTACTCGATTTGAGTGGTTATTTTTGGTTACGAATTATTGAGATTGATTTCATGTTACATAAAATCACTATTTATGAAATTATTGCAAAAAATTTCGAGAATGTAGTTTAGTTTAACAATTAGGTATTAATTTTATTGAGTTTAGGCCTTTAACAGATTATTTTTTAATTTATTCGTGTTAGGATTGAACCATTATAATAATGTGATTAGAGTAGAAATTGATTTAGATTAATTAATAAATAATTAGCGAGGAGAGTCGGAGATAGTTGCAATCATGTCTAAAGAAAAACAGGCGGAGTCTACAAGGTTACAGCCTTTTCTTTTATTTTTAATTTTACAGACTTGTCCTATAAAATTCTTCGATTTTAATGTTTTTGGTGACACTATACAAAGTACCTTGTATGAAGTTGACCGTTCAAATTTGATAGTTTTGAAACAAACAAACAAAACATGAAAATTTACCATGTACGAGTAAAACTATTTCTCCATTCATTTCGATATAATGGTTAGAATTTTGACACTATTTACAAACCCTATTTACCATCAAGATCTTACCCGTAATCATTACTCGTATATTAAAACCTAATTATCCGTGTTAGGGCCTGTTCACTTCAATTTAATTGCAGTTTATAAAGACTAGAATAGACCCGGTCTACAATAACTTATTGTAGACCCAACCTTCTAGTATACCATACGAATGTGATTATATCATACGAAATGTGATTATATTATTACAAAAGTGATTATATCATCTTGAAACTGTTATGTAAATGTATCGCTCAAAAAGTGAATTTATCATTATAAAAAGTATCAAATAGTAAATTACATCATTCAAAAGATGATTTTAAAATTTTATCATCCTCAAGATAATTATATAATCTCATTAAATGGTTTAATATGAGATCAAAATATGACTCACAAAAAGAGAATTATATCATCTAAGAAAGTGATTATATCATCCAGAATGTGATTATATTATTTGAAATAGTCAAATTTTGGGTCTACAATAATTTATTGTAGACCGGGTCCATACAAGACCAATTGATTTCAGTTTACCTCAGCTCCAATCAGTTTAGGATTCTAATTACAATCCCTCATAAAATATTCAATTCAGCTTAGCTCAGCTCCAATCAATTTAATTTAGTTCAGCTCAGATTTGAACAGACCCTTAGTCTCTAGAAAAATAAGTTAAAGGTTGGGCTATCAAGTTTAGTTTACACCTAAGATAAGTTCTACGAGTAATAAGTTTAGTCGTTAAGATGAGTTCACACGCGTTCAAATGTTCAATTAAGTTTTGATTAGTTCAGACAAGGTGAATAATCACACCTAGACTTGACTTACAAAGTTATTCTTTTGAGTAACAGAAAAATGGAGGTTCGATCTATTAAATTGTGATGTACCATCAAATAGGAGTTGATCAAACTAGAAATGCGGCCTATTATTTTGAAATTGAAACAAACGGGATCGGAGTCTTATATTGCATCCAAGGTCACTAGGTGAGCATAGCATATATGGCTTGATTATTGGCAATTGTCTAGAAAATAAAGAGTTATAATGTGAAAAGAGATCACCCTAATTTTGGATTTCTCTGCTAACTTCAACTTATTGGCAGCTGTTTAAGGTAAAGCAAACCTAAACAAATTTGGCAACTCTAGATTGTTTAAAAGTATTAACTACCAAATCTTTTTATTAAACCAAACGTTTTCACCAAAATCTTTTTTTCAGTTGGTCTATTCTTCTCTAACATTTGACAAAATCTATTATCAAAAGAAACATGTAACAGAAAACTTGATGTTGACTAATGATGATAATATAAATATGTTTTGCATTATATTTTTAGGTAAGTTTTATACAAGGCAATCATGGCATGCTCTTCAATGAATATATCTACATCCCACATTGCCGCGGCTAGGATAGGTATCCTTGGGGAGAATGGTAGTCTTCGACGGTCATCCTCCGGGGAAGAGTTATATAAACAAGCTACTATTAGAAGATCATGCTCAGACAACAACCTCTTATCCTCCTCAACCCGAATAAATAAGCTGAAATCAATCCGCTCCTTTGGGATTTTCTCTAACCCATGTCCAACTTCCACCTCTTCAACTCATATAAATGCACTATTGTTTGATACTGAGGTTGGGAATGAGAACATTACGACGACAGTTGATGACAAGTTATTGAGCGATAGTGAAATGGAAGAGGAAGTTGAGAGGGAAGATAGGGTGAAAAGAGTGAATTGGGTGCAAAGGCTCCTAGAGCTGAGAATGCGGTGGAAGGGTAGAAAGGAGAAGGAAGTTGATTGTAGGTATGAAGAGATTGAAGAAGATTGTAATGGAGAAGATGGTTGTCTAGTGGACTATGGAGAGACAGAAGATGAAGTAAAAATCGATTTAGAGTCATTCTCAAAGTTGCTCGTTCACGTGCCTTGGACTGATGCAAAGAAGTTCTCTAAGCTATCTTACCTGTGTAACAAAGCTTATTCAATTCCAGAACTTAAGGTATGCATTTAATGTATTTGGGGAAAAAAAAAAAGGTTTCTAATGTTCATTAAGTCATTGTTCTTCCCGCCTGAAAATTGCTTATTCTGTGTGTAGTATTATTGAAACTCATATTGACTTATAAATCTCCGTTTAGTGTTGAATTGGACTTGAGTCACCCCTTTATTTCAATTTATTGGAACATTGTTTCTTATAACTTATTTTTGAAGTTGAAAAGAATAATGCTGATCTACAAAAGAAATCAGATGTAATGAGATCATCAACAAAAAGATTGTGTGTATGTGTGTTTTTTTCCCTCTTTTAAAAGCACAAAGATGGGAAATTAAGAGAATATGTTAAACATGTAGGCTCATGACTTGCAACAATACCATGGTCTACATTTCATAACATCTTCATTGGAGAAGAAAGCGAAGGCTATTGCACTGAACGCAATATTAGCCAAAGATTCTGCTCACCAACAAGAAGATAACTTGGAAAACCTACAGCAAAGGGATTATGTAGTTAGCCCTTCTGTTGCCTACGAAATTGCTGCATCAGCAGCTTGTCATGTTCAAAATCGAGCCAAAAAAGAATCTCATCCTAGTACCAGTGGAGATGCCTTTTATGCAGCAAATAGAGAGGTATGTCCTGTGCCGAGAGGTTATAATTCAGAGATGGCCGCGCAAATGGCTGCAACAACGATGACAACAGTAGTGGCGGCGAAGGAGAAAGAAAAGCAAGCGGCTGCAAAAGAACTTCAATCATTACATTCTTCCCCTTGTGAGTGGTTCATTTGTGATGATCCAAGTACTCATGTGCGCTATTTTGTAATCCAGGTAAGTTATACTCCTCTTCTTTGACATAGATTCAAGACATTTTAACCCTTCATTGTATAAACTTTGTGCGTCTATATTACCGTACTGTTGCAGGGGTCTGAATCACTGGCATCTTGGCAAACAAACCTTTTTTTTGAACCTGCCAATTTTGAGGTAAAAGAGAAACTGTTATTATCAATAGTCTAATCAACTAATTGGAGATTTGAAGGGCTTCTAAAACCTAAATGAGCACTATCTACAAACACAGGAAACAGATGCAGCTGTTCATCGAGGAATTTACGAAGCAGCTAAGGGAATATACGAACAATTGATGCCAGAAATCCAAAATCATATAGATTCCCATGGAGAAGATGCAAAATTTCAATTTACAGGACATTCTCTAGGGGGCAGTCTATCACTATTAGTCCAAATGATGCTTATTGCGAGAAAAGCTGTCAAGCCATCAATCCTTTTACCAGTAGTTACTTTTGGATCACCATTTGTGTTTTGTGGTGGTGAAAAAATCCTGAAACGGTTACAGCTCGACGAAAGCATGGTTCAAAATGTCATCATGCATAGGGATATTGTTCCTAGAGCGTTCTCATGCAATTATCCTAGACAAGTTGAACAGGTCCTAAAGCGTTTAAACAAATCTTTCAGATCACACCCATGTCTCAACAAGCATGTAAGTATTTTCTTAAACCTTCATACTGTAGTTTACTGCCTATTTTGTACTCCTCTCAGTTTCACTTTTAATACAACAGGGCCATTCTTTTGTCATTGAACCAGTGTTAGCTAGTTTTAATTAGCTATAAAAACTTTATAAACATGAAAACGGTCTGACCTTGTTCGATTTGCTTGCTCGTGCAGAAAATGTTGTACTCTCCTACAGGGCAAGTATTTATTCTTCAACCAACTGAAAAATTATCCCCGTCTCATCCACTGCTTCCGCAAGGGTGTGCTCTTTATGCATTTGACAAGGCTCAACCTAATTTGATAGCACATGCTTTGAGGGAATTTCTAAATACTCCACACCCTCTAGAAACTCTAAGTGATCCTAGAGCTTATGGTTCGGAAGGAACCATCCTCAGAGATCATGACTCAAGCAACTATACAAAGGCAGTCAACGTGGTTATGAAGCAGTATACGAAGATAGCCTTCCGAAAAATCAAGAAAGAGAAACACATGGTATGGCCATTGGTTTCATCTCAATATTCATGGACACATGAAGGTGTCTTGGAAAATACTTCAGTGAGGAAGGAGGTCGTGACTAGCGTGTGATGTTATCGGTACCAAGAATGAATCGTACGCAGAATGGAATTGGGATAAAGAACCAACTTCAAATGTTGTCTAAATAAATAGAAACAACATAATGAAATAAATAGATGAAGAGAGAAGACCCATGTTATCCCAACTTCAAATGTTGTCTAAATAAATAGAAACAACAGAATGAAATAAATAGATCAAGAGAGAAGACACATGTATATATGTAGTATCATAGTTGGAACTAGGACTATTTTGTACATTCCATGTATATATACCAATTTCAAAAACTTAACTCAAGATTCAAAACTTGTATGTTGTTGATTTAGGATGTACAAATCAAGGGTTTTGCTTTAATTTGCATAATTAGTCAATTTATTTATTCTATTGTAACGAGTAAGTGAGATTGTACTTCATTATTTACATGTGGATCATTATTCTAAATCAACTTGCCCTTGTGGCTCTCTAAACATTAAAAAAAAAAACACTAAATTGACTATTTTCTAAAGTGCCTTTTTTTAAAAAAAAAATTATACGAGTATTTATTTTCTTACATAATACTCACTCCTATATATGTCGCACATCTTTTATCTTTTTTTTTAAAAATAAATTACATAACATTATCTCTTTTGTTTAACAGACTGTAGTTTACTCCATTCAGCTCATCATAAATCCTTTTAGGTTGATTTTTTAGGGCTTCACCCCTTTATATATAGTCTACTCTCTAACAATTTTCCAAATAGATTCCACTGTTAAAAAAATATATTAATTAAATAAATAGATAATCAATTCGTCAAAGTACATTTCATATAATTTGTTTACTCATAAGACGATAATTTTCAAAATTTAAGATATGTACTACATACTAAATCCTTTAATAGTAAAATTTTAATTTCCAAATGATTTCATGAAACTATTGTTTGATTTTGTGTTCCTTAAATAATAACTAGTCTTTGGGCCTGAGTGATGCCCCGCATTACTACATGAGACTAACTAATCATTAATATACAATGTAATTTATGATTTAATTTTCTTTGAATGAATATGTATTTTTTTTAAAACAATTATACCATATGCTTTATATTTATATATTGTAAGTGGTTTGGGGTTCGAATCCTCTTATCATTAATTAAGTTAAATTTTTAATGTTCAAAATATAACCTGTGGATTATCCCTGTTATCAGATTGCTTGATAACAAAATCTATGAACTTATAAATATCCATTGAATTTCAATTTATAAATATCATAAAAAAAAATATTCATACTCCATTCATTCAAAGACAAAAAATATAATTAGGCAAAAAATGTAAGAGAATAAGCTTTTTCTTAACCCAATTAAACAATTTTTTTTTTTTTTTTTTTTTTTTTTTTTTTTTTTTTTTTTGGAGGAAGAGAATAAGCTCATGCTTAGACTATTATAAATTTATAATGTTGGGCTACATAGCTTACTAGTTACTACAACACATCTAAGCTTGAAAGTTAGGGCAAAAAAATCCAATTCACCAATTGTGAACAAGATGTTGTTAGCCCAATTTGACAAACCAAATCAAATCAAATTCCCAAAAAACCAAAACCCCCCATTTTTTTTCTTTCTTTCTTCTCCTTCCTTTCTCTTCCTCCTCTCCTTCTCTCTCCTCCCCAAACACCACCAGATTCTCTCTATCTTTCTTCACCCTTTTTTTTTCTTTATTTGTTTACAAATTTCCTAACTCAAAAAATACCCACAATCTAATTCTCTTCTCTTTCCCATTTTGTTGGGGTATTTCCTTTTTTCTTGCGATCCATAGCCTCTGCTTTTGATGGTGCTTATTGTTGTAGCATTAAACTTTTGTAGAAATTTATTAACAAGCATTAAATCCCACTTGGGGTTTTCCTTTTTCTATCAATTTTAGCATTAAATTACTCATTTTTCGACATTTCAAGCGTCATATTATTGCACCCACTTTGGAAAAGTTCCTCCATTTTTTAAGCTAGGGTTTTCTCTGCCAAAGTTGGGTAACCCAATTTGCCCTTAATCTATTCAATTGAGCTCTGTTTATTGGGGATTTTTTGGTTACAATTTGTTTTTTTATTGGGGTTGTTGTTGTAGCATCAAATTTGTAGTTTATATAGTGAAGTTGTAGTTTGTAACAACATATTTTTGCTGCCTCTTATTATTTGGGGTTCAATTTTGGGATAGTTTGCAAATTTGGGAATATATTTTGAATAATTTCTGGGTGTATCTATTGTGCTATATTCTTAATCTGGGTTGTTAGTGTTACTGGTGGGTGGAGTGTTGTTTTTACTTAGGAGTAGAGTTTGGAGTAAAGGAAATTAGCCTTTGCCTGCATGGGCGGGCATGAGGGATGGCCACAGCCGAGTGGGCTACATCCGAATGGGCTGTTGCCCAATGAAACCGCCTCGGCTATTCGTGTTCTTGATTCAGAACGGTGGTTGAAAGCCGAGGAGAGAATCGAAGAGCTTATAGCTCGCATTCAGCCCAACCAGCCATCTGAACAAAGGCGAAATGCTGTTGCAGATTATGTGCAGCGGTTGATCATGAAATGCTTCCCTTGTCAGGTGAAGTTACACTCTTTAGAATGCTTAATTGGTAGGCGTACTTTTTTAGGGTAGATTGATTGCTTGGTTGACTTGAAATTTCCCTTTCATTTAGTGCTAGTAATAGTATTGGTAGTACATTATGTTTCCCTGCCTATTGTTTAAATTTATCAATGCTGTTTCGGTTTCAATTGTGTCCCTTAGTCCATGTTCACCCTTTTATAGTGATCATGTGAACGAAACAACTGGTTTCAGCATTTGGTAGTTCCAATATTTGTCCCTTGAAGGCTTGAAGCACTTTCATTGGTTATTTAGACTCATCCTTTTCGCCTGATAATCTGTTATCTGTAGATGTTGGAGTTTATAGGAACTTGTTTTAGTAGTGAATTGTACTCGGGCAACCTTTACCTTTTTGGAACTTTTTCGAATTACAATTTTGTGATAACTTATTATTTATGCTGAAAAGAGCAAACCCATCAACTCTACAAAATAAAATACAGGGATTTTTTTTTTATCTACAAAATTTTATTATTCATGCTGATCTAGCCATATGGTTTTGAGGTGGAACCTCCTTGGTCTTGTAAAAGTGGTGGACTTGCACTCTCCCGTGACGGGTGCGGCCTGCGGCCCAGACCCGTATTTAACATGGTATCAGAGCCAAACCCACGATCGGGGCTTTAATGGCTAAGGTATACTGGGCCAAACACTATGGACAACTCACATGTGAGGGGGAGTGTTGAGCCCATGAACAACCCACATGTGAGCATCTCTTGTCCCACACTAAAACACTAAACACTAAAAGGGGAGTGTAGTGGTAATGAAATCCCACATTGAAAGAATTCAAGAGTTACCACCACTATACAAGGCTAAGGGGCTACTCCCCTCATTGCCATATGGTTTTGAGGTGGAACCTCCTTGGTCTTGTAAAAGCGGTGGACTTGCACTCTCCCGTGACGGGTGCGGCCCAGACCCGTATTTAATCAGCATGAATAATAAAATTGTCATAAATTGTCATTTGCAATCTTTGTACAACTTGTTAATGTTTATTTATGCTTTCCCCTTCAATGTTATTTTTCATTTGAGATTATCAGATCCTTTAAGCACAGAAGGGTCAGCTGTACATGGATATCTGTTGATAGTTATATCTAGCCGTTGCTTTGCAATCCTATAATTTCTTAGTATTTATTGTTCACAGGTTTTCACTTTTGGGTCTGTTCCTTTGAAGACATATTTGCCGGATGGGGACATTGATTTAACAGCATTTAGTAAAAATCAGACTCTTAAGAATAATTGGGCTACTCAAGTGCGTGATATACTAGAAAGTGAAGAGAAGAATGAAAATGCTGAATTTCATGTGAAAGAGGTTCAGTATATTCAGGCAGAAGTGAGTCCTTCACTCCTTTCATCTGCTCTTGCCCCATTTTGTGTTTTCCTTTGCCATCATTCATTAAACATTGTCGGGATATTATCAACCCTCTCTTTGTCTGAATTTTTTTGAATTCTTCTGTGAGGCTGTGCTTAGACTAGCAAAGTGTATGTTGACCTTTTGAACTTGTATTGTGATGCCGCTACATATTACAGTTATTTCTGAACTCATCTAGAATGTGTAGATTTTTTCCTAACCTTTCAGGGTAATTTAGTGAACTAGTAATAAAATATATGTTTTCTTTTAACTTCTTCTAAAGGCTAAATCGACGTAGTCAAACAGTGCATTTGAGTACAGCTGCTTCTTGAAAGGGGGTATACTCTGAATTAGGACAACAACATTACATTGGTAGTACAATTTAGATTATATATAGAACTGATGTTTCATTTGTGCTCTTTTTTCAGGTCAAAATTATAAAGTGTCTAGTGGAAAATATTGTTGTGGACATATCATTTAATCAGTTGGGTGGGCTATGCACCCTATGTTTCCTTGAAGAGGTGATTTTTATCCTATAATACTTGCATTTTTATTTTGAGGAGCTATGTGCTGATTAGAATGACATGACATTTATACTGCAGGTTGACCATTTGATTAATCAGAATCACCTGTTTAAGCGTAGTATTATATTGATCAAAGCTTGGTGCTACTACGAGAGTCGTATATTGGGTGCTCATCATGGGCTTATATCTACTTATGCCTTGGAGACCTTGGTTCTTTACATATTTCATGTTTTCAATAATACTTTCACAGGACCTTTAGAGGTGCTATATTTAAATCTTTCTTCATTTGATGTTTTAAATCCTATGCTCTCTATAATGTCCACTGATATGATTTCCTTTCCAGGTTCTGTACCGTTTTTTGGAATTCTTTAGTAATTTTGATTGGGATAATTTTTGTGTCAGCTTATGGGGTCCTGTACCCATTAGTTCACTTCCTGATGTAACTGGTAGGCTTCCTATTTGTAGCTGATTCGGTGATTCCTATCTCAGTAATTGATTGTGATTGCTATCTCTGATATTCTTATAATGGTTAATGTCACAGCGGAGCCTCCTCGCAAAGATAGTGGAGACTTGCTGCTTAGTAAATTGTTTCTTGATGCATGTAGCTCTGTATATGCTGTCTTCCCGGAAGGCCTAGAAAATCAGGGACAACCCTTTATTTCGAAGCATTTTAATGTCATTGATCCTTTGCGTGTGAACAATAACCTTGGAAGAAGTGTTAGTAAAGGTATTTTTATTCCTATACCAATTGATAGTTTATGACTTTAACATTTATTAAGGTTTAAACTATGTAGTTAATATATTATCTAGTTAGCTGCATTCTTTCATTATATTAGAGTGACGAGTATCTGGTTTTTCAAATTGTAAACTTGTAAAGTAAGGGAAATATGTTTTTCAGTAATTGAAAAATGCTTTCAAAGGCAACCTTTCCTTGAAAGGATTTTCCTCATACATGCTTGTTACCAAATATCATGAGATGAAGAGCTGACACGTTGGATTAACAAAGATGGGGATTGGGTTTTACTATCGATTAGTTCACTATGATATAATATACTTACTCTTTTTTCTTACTTGCAAGTTGCAACACTTCTAATTTCTCGCTTGCCAATGCATTGCTTCATTTACCTTATTTCTCTTATTATCAATAAATGAAGTTTAAAGTAATTTTATGGAAATATAAATCAAGACAAATCTAACAAGATCTCATTTGACTATCCTTTTTCTAAACTATAAATCATCAAAGGTAGTCATAGTAGCATATGTGAATAGTGCTAAAGTCAAAACGTTGCAAGTAAAAAAATAGAGAAAGTATGTATTTTTTTTTTCCATATTTACCCGTTGATCAGCCTGAATGGATGTTTTTAAAACCTGACATGTAATATTTCAGGAAACTTTTACAGAATTCGCAGTGCGTTTACGTTTGGGGCAAAGAGGCTAGCTAGGCTACTAGACTGTTCTGATGAGAACATTGTTATTGAGTTGAACCAGTTCTTTATGAACACATGGGAGAGACATGGTAGTGGTGTACGTCCTGATGTCCCTAGTAGTGACTTGTGGCCCTCACTGGCAAATCCAGATGATCGATCGAACAATCAAGATATTGCTTCAAGTAGCAAGAATGCTAGTGATAATGTATCAATTCAAGAAACTCAGATTAGGGTGCCTCAGAGTAATCGGCCTCTAACCTCTCAACGTGCTAGTTATCCTTTGGAAAGCATTTCAAAAAACAATGAAGTTCCTGCAGCTTCTTGCACACAGGATCAAAAGAGCATTGGGAATCCGAACAGCTCAGAGATTATGGAGCAGGTTGGAAAAGGCAATGCTCAGAGTTTGCGAGCTGATAGAAATAAAAAGAGCTTGAAACCTGATCACATGCTGAATGAAATACAGGGGAAGTATCTTTTTGCCAGAACACGGTCAAGTCCAGAGCTCACTAATGCATATTATGACGCTTCTTCAAGAGGAAGGCGTGGTAAACCTACTGACAGTGGGAGAAGTCAGGTTGCTTCTTCAAAGATGGATAGCAACCGAAGGAAAAACATAGCATCTGAAACTCTGTCAACTCAAAGCACATTATCCTCATCAGATGATCTCTTATCTGGTAGGTACAATTCTCATCATGCTGTAGATGTTGCTGCTGATTCCATGAGTGTTTCAAATAGCCATGTTGGTGATTCTGGAACTGGCATTGTTAGTGAGGATCATACATCTGTAACAGGAGCACAAGGAATGCATCAAGAGGAGCAAGATCTTGTAAATATGATGGCATCCTCCTCTTTACATAATTTTGGTGGACAGGTACCTATGCCACTGAATTTGGCATCCTCTCATTTACCTCTACCAATACCCCAATCAGTGCTTGCTTCTATGGGATATAATCAGAGAGGAATGGCTGGCATGGTCCCTGCTAATATTCCTGTGATTGATCCTCACTGGGCTGCAAACCTACACTTTCAGCAGGGCTTTTCATCTCCATTGACTCCATATTTTCCTGGAGTTGGGTTTCCTGCAAAATCTGAGGCTTTGATAGAACAAGGTGATGAGAATTTTAGTTCTGTGGAAATTGCACAACAGGGTGCTGATACTGATCATTGGCATGAGCGAGATGTGACTACGATTGGTGGTCAAGATGATGTAAGTTTGGAGATGCACCATGTAGATGACAGGCAGCCTTCGACTTCTGGTAATTCCAGCTTTGGTCCCTCATCTCGCATGGCTAATTCTGGGAGTTTTTTTAAAGCTCAGACGAAAGTTGCCAAGGAGCTTCGAACATCAATGAGAGATGATTATGTGGAAAATTTGCAGCGCCAAGATAATCGAGAAAATGAGGTGTACTCAGATGATAGAGTTACTAGTGCTAGGTTTTCTTCTGCTTCTCAGGCTGGTTCTGTGAGAAGTAAGACATCATCTGAGAGTTCATGGGATGGGTCATCTACAAGAGTATCGAAGGTGGCCAGGGAAAAGCAGGGAAGGAAAACAGCTGTTTCATCTTCAGTACCTCCCATTATTCATAGTAAAGACAAAAACATCTACAATCATTCCTCTGCTGATTTAGATGATGAGAATAGAGATTGGAATAGTATGTCCACAAAAGGGGTAGAAATTAATGAAAGAAGTATAGTTTCTCAACATGCATCTACTTTGCATGTCCCAAGGCATCACTTGCCTGGCTATGAAGTGGCACAGACTAGTGGGTCTGATTCAGTCATGCCTATTGCTCCTATGGTTTTAGGTCCCGCCTCACGGCAAATCAAATTCTATCCCACTGGACCACCTGTGCCTTTCTTTACAATGCTTCATTTTCCTCCTGAGGCTGGAACTTCTGATCGAGCAAGTAGTTCTCCACATGGAGAGGTGGGTTCTGATGATATTGATTCTGTGAAAAGCATAGGTTTTTCTGCGGGGCATGATGCTCCTGATGTTTATAGTACTTATAATTCCATTAAAAGAGCAATTACCACAGAGTCATCTGAAGAACCAAAGCCTGATATTCTCAACAGTGACTTTGCTAGCCATTGGCAAAATCTGCAGTTTGGACGGTTTTGCCAGAGCCCTCGATTTCCTCCACCAGCTGTTTGCCCATCTCCTGTTGCTGCCCCTCCTATGTACTTACAGGGTTGCTTTCCTTGGGATGGTCCTGGAAGACCACTTCCAGCAAATGCTAACCTTTTGTCTCAGCTTATGAGTTACGGCCCACGCTTTGTTCCTGTTCCCCCTGTTCAGCCTGTGTCCAGTAGACCTCCTGTTGTCTACCAACACTATGCTGATGAACTACCAAGATACCGCAGTGGAACAGGAACCTATCTACCAAATCCTGTAAGGGCCTCTTGTAGACTTTTATTTGTGCATGCAATTGTACATATTTTGCCAGTTGATCTTCTGTTGATTGTCTACATATCTGGATACTTTGACTAGTTTTGTAAGTTCATTTCTTACTTTCTTAGATAGCACGAGATTGTTATTTTTTGTATGGTTAAATATGATAGGATTATTTTGTCAAAAAAAAAAAAAAAAAAAGTAATATGGTTGGATGTTTTTCTTTCTAAGCATTTTGGATGCTTGATTTGCTGCATGTGAATGACCAATTTAGAATGTCTAGTTGTGCCTTAGAATCTTAGAAAATGTTATAGAATTGAGACTGGAAGAACCCCAGATCGCTTTTCCCTAATTTAAATATCATCAGCAGCTTTCCTTTTCTCTCCCCCCCCCCTCACCCCCCACATAAAACTCAAACTGCAATTTTATGTCCATTCTCTATCCCTGCTTGGGTTGCTCTGTTACTACGCCAGCTTTTCTAACATGCTTCCTCTAGCTTTCTTGTGATGCCATACTCTTTTTTTTTAAGCAAGAAGGAAAATTAGAGAAATTCTCCTGGTCATTATCTTGGTTGTTATGATCTCTATCAGATTTTTTTAATATGCTATAGTATCCCTTCCCCTGAGAAGACTAAGTATAGAATTCGTCCAGTCTCTTAAATAGTTAAATGTGATTGTTATGATTTGTATCTACATTTTTCCAGTAATCATCTGCGTGCTGAGGCCTGAGGCACTGTGGTGGGAGTTGGGTATGGTTTGAGTTGCTGGGCAGGATTAATGAGAGGTTTTTTGGGGCTGTGGGAAATTTTGTTCTCTCTCTCTCTCTCTCTCTCTCTCTCTTTTAATTTTTTTTATTTATTAAATGGTTTAGAGTTTTTCATGCATCTGGTGCTAATTTCTGTGTGTGTGTGTAATTTTGCTAACTTTTTGTGCTCAAAAGTGCCAACGGTCCTTTGTGTGATAATGTGATTGCCTGAGATATTGGATCTGTACCATTTTTTATTGCAAAATGATGATCAATCAATTATCTTTTGCTTGTTTCTGTAATGCTTTTCTTTTGCTTTTGGTTTTCTAAATTGTAGCATCTTTCTTGATTGCTTTCTTAAAATTTTCAGTAGCAACCACATGCCTATCAAACATCTTGACAAAGCTTTGTTTTTCTAACAAATCTTGATGGTAATGAAGTAGAATGCAATATGTTCAGACTTTTGGTTTGAGATGAAGTGGTTACTGAAAGGATTTAATTGTATTGACGATGTACATGTGTTGTATGCTTGTATTGGTTATGAATTGCTCTTTTTTTTTTTTATTAAAAAAATTATGGTTTTTTCAATTATGTCCACTCTCTTTTTTAATATTCTTTCAAAATATTATTCATCACTTGATGATTTCATTGTCACTGGCAGAAGGCTTCTGTGAGAGATCGACATTCTTCTGGAGCGAGAAGGAACAGTTACAACTATGATAGAAGTGATCATAGTGACAGAGAAGGTAACTGGAATGCCGCAAAAGCAAGAGCTGCTGGTCGTAGTCACAACCGTAGCCAAGCCGAGAAGTCAAGGGTTGATCGATTGCCAGCCAATGAGAGTCGGGCTGACAGGCCTTGGTCTACTTACAGGCATGACCATATACCTTCGTATCAGGCTCAAAATGGTCCTTCACTGCCTAGCTCCTCTCAGAGCAGCTCAGTGAATGTGGCTTATGGGATGTACCAGATGCCAGGTATGAACCCAAGTGGAGTAACATCATATGGATCCTCGATACCATCTGTTGTCATGTTGTATCCATATGATAACAATTCTGGCTATGTATCTCCCGGAGAGCAACTTGAGTTTGGTTCTCTAGGCCCCATGAGTGTTGTTGGCACGAATGATGCAACACAACCCATTGATGGAACTCGGTTTAGGAGAGCGTTTGAGGATCAAAGATTTCATCGTAGCTCAACTCAACAGTCTTCACCAGACCAACCATCATCCCCTCACTTCCAAAGGTAATTTTCATTCACATTCATGTGTTTCGGTCATTATCCAGCTTGTGAGTTGTGATTATACTCTATGAGAGGTCATTTTATGATGCTGTTCTATTTTACTATTTTATAACAGGAGGATTTAATTATTTTGCCAGATCAATGGCCCAAAGGAACTATCAGTTGAAAGATGAAGACTTTCCACCCTTGATTTTCCAAAATCCAGGACAAGATGGTGGGAAGATCTGTAATGAGAAATACTCCCATTACCATGCTCCAATGTTTGCACCACAAGCATAGGAGGTCGGGGGTTCTGATGGTTGGGTTGGTGAAGGGATTCTGCTGGCTTCTTTGGTACACTAGGAACTCGGTTTCCTGGCTGTTCTTGCTCCAAGAGTGGAGTATTGGTGAACTAGCCAAAGATCATAACATGAAGGTTTGGAAATCTCCATTTTCAGTAGCAAATGTGACGGTTGAAAGAAGCAGCAGGTTGAGGCAGTCGGGGAGTTGCAATTTCTTAGGGTCTGACATACTGTAAGTCTGTAACTTAGTTGAAGTAGCTGTAGAAACTGAGTTAAGGGCTTATCTTTCGCCCTGTCGAGATCAGTTTTCCATTTTTACACACTGTATTTGGAGGGGGTTCTTGATAAAACTCATTTTATACTTGTTTTCCTTTAGTTAGATTTGCTAAAAACAGTGTAGCAACATCACCCTCATAGTTTAAATAGCAGTTAGAAGTTCTTGATACTGTTATCCTTGTTCAAAGTTTTACTCAGTGTTGTACCTGATTCATAAATTAGGTTACGGGGATTGGGGGTTCCCCATCGTATATTTTAGGAGTATACAATTTTTTTTTTATAAATAAATATAAACATTCAAAAAAATCTTAAATCAACAAAAATTGGATGTAAGCTTGATTTTTTTTTTTTTTTAATTCTTGTCAAAGTTTTGGAAGAGACTGTTACTCCAAAACACACACACACACACTCAAATTCATTATAAAACCTCCATTTTATATTAATTTGCAACTTTAAATTAGAGTTAGTATAAATGTTCATTTTTAATGACTTTTGACGGTTATTTTCATCCGAGAAAAATAATTAATCCAAGTATCACATCTTGTCTAAAAATGAGCTACAAGCCTACGAGTATAAACTTGCAACTTTGCAAGTTGCAACTGAGTATATAAATATACTACGTACAACATTTCTTTTCTCTGGTCACACACCTACTAGCTTGATAATATTTATTCAAAAAAAAAAAAAAAAAAAATCACACCTACTAGTTTGATAATATTATTATTTTCTTTATTTAGAAAGATAAAATATCCTGTAACCTAAAAATCCCAAGTCGAAAAATCAGAAAAACCCTTGTTAAACCCCTTATCTTCCACCTCAAAATCTCTACCATTTCCGGACCCCTTATCACAACCGGAAACCGGCAAAGTCAGTAATTCTCTCTCCTCCACCACCCCATTTGATGCCGTTAAAACCACCACCACTCCGCTCATTTCTCTCTCCTCTTCCGGTCACCCTTTGCCCTTCTATGTCTTTATATTCTATTCGTCAACCCTATTTTGCAATCCCTACTTTTCGTCGCATTTTTCCTTTAAAGCTCAAACTTTTAGGGTTAGGGTTTTCTCCTCGCACATTTTCGACCCGCCCGTTTCAGTCCAGGCCCAATTCAGGGCCCAAATACCCTCGTGCTAAGGCAGAGCCTGTTGCAAAAAGCTTAGTTGAGGATGAAGATGATTTAAGCAACTGGGTTAGTGGTTTAAGGACTGGTTCTTTTAGGTCTGGGAGTTTTACTGAAGACGAAGAAGATAGTAGTAGAGGAAAAGGGAAGATAAGGGCTAGTTTTGATCATCAAATGGGTAAGAGGGGCAGAGAGAGTAATTTTGCTAATGGTGAGGATAGGGGTTCTGGGAAATTTGGTAAAAGGGGTTTTCGGAATGCCGGTGATTCGGGTGATTCGTCGAGGTTTGGGGGTGAAGGTGAAGGGAGGGAGTACAGGAAAAGAGGTGGTGGGGTTAGAGAAGGTGGAAGGGGAAGAGATAAGGAGTTTGGGGCGAGGGGCGGGCGGGGTTCGAGTAATGTGGGTGGTGCTGTGAAGAGTCCTCCGAAGTTTGGGAGGAGCTTTGGTGGTGAAGACGGGGGGAGGGAAATGAAGAGAAGGGGTGGGGAGAGAAATGGAGGATTTCAAGGAAAGAAAATTTGGACTAAGGTTAATACAGGAGGTGAGAAGCGTGGTGTGAGGCGAGCTGCTCCTGTTTTATCCTCGGAGGAGGATGATGATGAGGACGGGGATGAGGATGATTTGGGGAAAGACAAGCAGAAGTCGGTTTCGGGTTTTATGGATTTGATTGGTGAGGAATCTGAGGATGATAGTGAGGAGGATTCTGATGAAGAGGATGAAGAAGTTGTGGTTAGGAGTAGAAGTTCTTTATTTGCAGATAAGGGTGCGAATTCAAGTTCTGGACCGAGCTCTATTGATGGAGGTGGAGCTGATTCTTACCTTAGTGAAACCAGGTTCGTCTTCTGTTTGTTCGTTTATTGTTGGTTCTCTATGCTATCAGTTTTGTACTCATATTGGTTTTATGTGTTATTGTGTAATAAATCATCTTATCCTATGTAATGAAGGATAAGAGTGAGGCATTGTGCTTGAAGTTTTACATTGTCATGAGTTGCCATTAGTTTGTTTGTATTGTGTATCAGCAATGTGCATCAGTATGGCCTGATCAGTCTAAATTTGTATTTAATTTGTATTTTAATTTGGGTTTGCTTAATCTTCTATGCTGCCTGCAGGTTTGATCAATGCAGTATCTCACCCTTGTCCTTGAAAGCAATCAAGGATGTTGGATATGAGAAGATGACCATGGTGCAAGCGGCGACACTCCCTGTTATACTAAAAGGTCAATAAGAAAATGTCTTTAAGCAAAACACAAAATGACATTGTAGTGTTACTGATTGTCTTCTAAAAGTTGGTGTTGGGCATACCACTATTTTCTGGATTGAATATTTGATGCTAGATATCCTTAGCCTGCATTTCCAACTTGTTTATATAGCTTCTTGGTTATTACCTGACTGATTACTTGTCTACTCTCCAGGTAAGGATGTTATGGCCAAGGCTAAGACAGGCACAGGAAAAACTGTAGCATTTTTGGTAAAACATACTTCATCTCTTTTTGAGATTGTTGTTGGTCATATAATGTGAATTTGGGCTCAAGATTTCATTCCTTTTATTGATAAATTAAAAACCTGAAAAATTCTGTCTTTGTTTGAGTATTTTCTAGAGATATCCTTTTTTTATTTTTTTTTATTTTTTTATTTTTTTTAAATGCTGTGTACTAAGACTAATTCTTAATTTCAGCTTCCGTCCATTGAAACGGTGCTAAAGACACCTCCTGCTGGCCGTGATCAGAAGAAACCACCGATCCTTGTACTTGTTATATGTCCCACGCGAGAGCTTGCTACTCAAGCTGCTAAAGAAGCTAAGACTTTGCTTAAGTATCATCCTTCTATTGGTGCCCAAGTTGTGATAGGTGGTACCAGGCTTTCACTGGAGCAGAAGCATACTCAGACAAATCCCTGTCAGGTTAGATACATTAACCTTGCAAGCAAGTTCTTATGCAGAGCTACTACATGTCATATTGAAAATGAAAAATTGGATCTTTGAGAGGACAACTATGTATCACTCCCTCTCTAGAGTGAATGTTTTAATTCATTTTTCATCTCTCCCTTAAGTTAAAAATAAATCTTTTCTCCATCACTTCAACCTTTTTTTTTCCCCCCATCTACATTCTTCTATTTGTCTCTACCTTCTTTCAATTTAATCCCACTTTTATTATCTCTCTCTTGTATCTAGTAAAATACCAATCAACACTGGCAAATTATTTGATGAGGAAATATTGGGACTTTGGGTGTGTATTTATTGCTAGATTTCCTTTAGGGCAAGGAGTTAACTTAAGTTTGGACACAGATTCTCGTTGCTACACCTGGAAGGCTAATCGATCATATGGAGAACACTGCAGGATTCGCCACTCGGCTTAGGGGTGTGAAAATCCTTGTACTTGATGAAGCTGATCACTTGTTAGACATGGGATTCCGCAAGGCCATTGAGAAAATCATTGCTGCCGTTCCCAAAGAGCGGCAAACACTACTATTTTCTGCCACTGTATCAGATGAGGTTAGCTTTCTCAGCATTTGATTGCATATGCATGTCCTCTGTCGGTTGTGTTAAAAAATTCTGGAAGTTTTCAATTTTCTCTTTTGTTATAATAAATTTGGCATTTTCCTCTGAACAATTTTTTTGTTTGAAGGTTCATCAAATCTGCCATATTGCTTTAAAAAGAGATCATCAATTTATCAGTACTGTTCAAGAAGGCAGTGAGGAGACACATGCAAAGGTGCGTTCATGGTCCTATTTTTTGATGTAAAAAGTGTTCTTGTACTTATTGAGTATGAGGCATTTGCTTGGCTAAGCTATCTAATATTCTAATGGCTATGAGAAGTCTCCTATTATTCCATGTGCGTATTAAAATAAAATTTCAACATGGTACTGAAGTAATAGGAAGTTGATTTTCTCTCTTTCTTTTATTAGGGTTTTCTTTACTTTCTCTCTTCTTTCGACCCAACATCATCTCCTCAACACCACTGGTCCAGCCGTCCAACTGTCCTCTCCTCTTCACCTCCACCATTATCCCTCTCTTCTTTTGAACTCATTTTCTACTCTCTTTGCGCCCCTTCTTTGACCATCACCAGGTCCATCACCAACCTTTTCTTCATTAATACATAAGAAATTTTTTTGTCCCCCCCCCCCACCCGGACTACAAATCAAAGAATCTAATCAAGCCTTCACATCATTGAAAATTGGTAGAGGAGTTTTATAGTGAACTGGACGATAATGAGGAGAATTTGTGGTAGCAGTTGAAGACTTAAAGGAGAAGAAGGGAAAAAGACAGTGAAAAACAATGGAGTAAAAGCAATTGATATTTGGGGAATAAACCCAAGAAGACTTCTTAGGGTATAAAAAGACAATTGTGCATTTCTTTGGAATTGCCTCGCCTAGAACAACTAAAATGCATGACATATACGAACTTTGTGTGGTTGTGTCTCAGGCTCTCAGTACCTGCGTTTCCTTTTTTATACACCATGTGATCTTAGGGTATAAAAACACAGTTGTGCGTTTCTTTGGAATGGCCTCGCCTAGAACAATTTAAGTGCGTGACCTGTACTACTTGTGCGGTTGTGTCTCAGCACCTTAGTTTCCTTTTTTATACACTATGAGATGGGTGGGTCTTGATGGTTGTGGTTAAAAGGAGGTGTAGGATGTTGGGTTGAGTAAGAAAAGAGGAAATGAAGAAAATAAAAGATGGACTGAAAACTCTTCACTGTTCAAGAGAAGATGTGTATAATGCTCAATTGCTCAGAGCTATGTTAAATACTTTAATGTCAGGCTTTTTTTTATTTTTTATTTATTTTTTATTTTTTTTAATGTCCACTAGGGGGTGGGGCCTGGGGGGTCACTTCCCATATAGTAGTTTGGTTGTGTTAGTTTTCCGATTCCTAAAACATCTATGAACTTTTGCAGGTCAGCCAGGTGCATTTAGTTGCTCCCCTGGAGAACCAATTTCCTCTATTATACACTATTCTGAAGGACCATATTTCAGATGATGTGAACTACAAGGTGCGAATGTTGATCAATTTACTGAGTGAACAAAAAATTGCAACTGATTTCCTTTTGTGACCTCCATTTGTCTAATTTGCTTTAAATAGATATGATGCTCAAATGTTTTTGATGTGGATTCATGACATTCTCTATGCAGGTTCTTGTATTCTGTACCACAGCAATGGTCACAGCATTTGTTGCAGATCTTCTTGGTGAGCTTAACTTGAATGTTCGTGAGATTCATTCCAGGAAGCCACAGAGTTACAGGACCAAAGTATCAGATGAGTTCCGCATGTCAAAGGGTATTATACTTGTAACTTCTGATGTGTCAGCACGCGGAGTTGATTATCCAGATGTTACCCTAGTTATACAGGTAATATTACTGCTTGTTTTGCTTGTTAGGCCTCAACCAGCTGCTTTAGTCTGAGGCAGGTTGGGAAAGCAATTTGGAGAGGGGAGGGGGTTGGTGTGAACTAGAGATAGCAAATGAGCAATCCTGATCGACCGTCAGTTTAGTTTGGTTCGGGTCAGTTTACTTTGGTTCGTATTCACATGCTAAGACCTTTGGTTTGGTTTCTGGTCAGGTTAGGGCTTATTGGGTTTGCCATATACTGGTTTTCATCAATTATCTTTTTTTAGTCACAATTTAGTTCAGTTCATTTAATTTTGGAAAAAATTGAAAAGAATAATCCCACCTTTCGCCCATCTGCTCAAAATAATCCCACCTTTTCGAATTCCAGAAATAATCCCACCTTTTAACCCCATCTTCTCAAATTGATCCTTTTTACCCACAACTGTTTCAACAGGTAATTTTTATTTTTTTTTGAAATAAATAAAACAAAGGCAAAATAAAATTAAAAAAAAAAAGAAAAAGAAAAAATCCCCTAACACCCTAACGCAGCCCCACACCCACCATTGGCACCATCTGTCCCCCCATCGGCGACAGCTTAACCCTAGCCGTCGGCACCCCTGCCCCACCAATACCGGCGAAACCTTCCTTCCCCCTTCTCTTTCCCCGAAAACCATCTTAACCCAGCCTAACCACCTCAATCATTCGAACCCCAGCCTCTTCGAACCACCACAAACAGGCCAAACACCACCCGAATTCCACCTCAAACACCACCTCAAAATAATCCCACCGCAAACACCTCAAAATTGGCCGATGTCTGGGATTGCCAGCGGCAAATGTGTTGTTTTGGGGTTGAATTGGAGGTTGTGGCTGCGACTTGTGGGGCTGCGACATCACGATGGTTGGAGATGGTTGTAGCGATGTTGATGGCTGCAATTTTGAAGGCTGCCACGCTGGGGGAAGTTGGGTAATTGTGGAGTTAGTGCAGTTGTGGTCGTTGTGGGGTATGTTGGGCAAATTTGGAGGTGGTGCGGTGGGGTTATTGGTGTGGCTGGGCGAAGCCCGGGAGTTAAGAGGGGTTGTGATCGGTGGCGATTTGGTGTGTGTGGGTTCGATGGTGGTGGGTTGTAGTGGCAGCAACTGCAGAGAGGAAGGTGAAATTTGTGATGGTGGTGATGGTGGTAAGGCGCGGCGGCAGGGGGTTGTGACGGTGGTGATAAGGGGGTGGTCGTGTAGCTGGGAGAATTTTTTTTTTAATTGTTTTGTTTTTATTTTAAATTATTTAAAATTTAAGACCAATTAAAAGGTGACACGTGTCAAGTCACCTTCTAAAACAGGTTACTAATTTCATAAACCGGTAAAAGGATCATTTTGGGAAGATGGGGTTACAAGGTGGGATTATTTCTGGAATTCGAAAAGGTGGGATTATTTTGAGCAGATGGGCGAAAGGTGAGATTATTCTTTTCAATTTTTCCTTTAATTTTGGGGTTAGGTTGGTTGATTTAGTTTGGGTGATTGGGACAGGTCAGTTCTTGCTGGTTGGAACTAATGATGAACATAAATCTTCATTCTTTTCTTGATTAAAATTCATATCACAAACCACTTGTTTATCTGTAGGTTGGAGCACCATCAGAAAGAGAACAATACATACACCGGCTTGGCAGAACTGGGCGTAAAGGCAAAGAAGGGCAAGGGATACTTTTATTGGCACCATGGGAGGATAGCTTCTTAAAGTCTATCAAGGATCTTCCTATAACCAAGGCAACACCGCCAATCGTTGATCCTGATACTAGGAAGAAAGTATGCCAGTAGACACATAATTTCATTTATTTCCCTGGTCATACTATTAGAGATTTTATACTTAGTATAATCTTTTCTTACTTGGTATATGTCGAGTTGTCTAATACTTTTTTTTTAATAAGGTGGAACGTGCTTTATCAAAGGTAGATATGCAGAGCAAGGAAAAAGCATACCAGGCATGGCTTGGGTACTATAATTCCAATAAGAGTGTGGGACGAGACAAAATGAAGCTTGTAGAGGTCGCAAATGAGTTTAGTCGAAGCATGGGGCTTGACACTCCTCCAGCAATAGCCAAGATTACTCTTGGCAAGATGGGGTTAAAGAATGTCCCTGGTTTACGCGTCAAATAGACAGAAGTAATTGTTCTGTTAAAATTTTTTGGGGTGTCAAGCTATTTCAAGCTTGTAAGTGTGTTTTTTTTTTTTGTAGGTGAGCTTGTAAGCTTGACATTTGAAGGCAAGTAGGGTGTTTTTGTTTTTTTATTTTTATTTTTTTTATTATTATTATTTAATCGTGCGTGCTAAAAGTTATCTTTGGTATGCATAGATTTCAGGTATTTAGCTAATAGAATTAATGATTATTGTTACTAGTAATGTTAATGCTAATAGAAATCTACAATTTATGGAATGTATTATTGAAAGATTTGAAACAAAGTGTAATGCAAAATTCGATTTTCTTCTATTGGGAGGGCCGAATTTTTTGTTATAAAACAATACGAGTCCAAATTTATTAAGTATAAAACCAGCCGTCCAAAGAGTTTGACAAGAATAATGCATCAAATCTCTAAATATAATTATCAATTTCTCACAGTTGAATTTTCGTGTAGAGTTATACATTTAACTCTTACAAATCAATAATTTTGCTACAAGCTCTAGAAAAGTATTACTCTGAATAAAGTAATAAATTCCACAAACGTAATAAAATTACAATATGTAATGCCTAAATAGATAACTCAAGCGAATTGCATGATATAACAATTCTTGACTAATATCGACATGTGATTATATATTTGACCAATACCTTAGACCAATACCGACGTGTGAGCTATTTGACCAATACCGATGTGTGAGCTGCACGTGATACATGGAAATCAAATACTATATAATTAGAGTAATGCATATCCTTCAAATTTTGGAGGGTAAAACGAACAAGGTTTGGTTTCCCCATTAAAAATTTTAGTAGCCGTGAATTTTCTCACTCCTAAATTCTGCTCTAAATTTGTTTTTCTCGCCCAAATTTTGCGATCAGGTATGCAATTCAAAGTCTTTTTTTTATCATTTTTACTTCAAAATTTAATTTTTGTAATATGAATTTCAAAGTTAGGTTTTATTGTTGTTTATTCAATTGATTATGTTGATCATTTATACCTTAAATGATTAATTTTGTGGAAATCATCTGAATTTAGAGCCTAAATTACATGATTGATTGATTGGATAGTTCATTTGATTTGTGTCGCAATGTTTAATTGAGTTGGTTTTTTTAGCTGGAATAATTTGCTGCTGTGAAAAATATTATCTGAAATTCCAAAAAAACAATGTGAAGATGAATGAGAAGATTGTTGAAAGCAACAAATTAATAAGAGTTGCACATTTATCATACAATATTATCATATTTAGAAAATCTCGGGAAAACCTAGCTATTGACCTCTATAGGCATCATTTGTTATTGAATATTGATGCCAAAATTTATAGAGCCAAATATGGGTTTACTTCATGATTTTGAAGATCATTCTGAGTAGACTTCGCCTTTTTTTGCGATTAGTTTCATGTATGATTATCAAGTAGAGAAATAAGCGGTCTTAGGATCTGTCGATAGCGATTTCCTTTGGCTGACTTGGAGATCTGGTGGCTAGGCCTTTTTGTTGTGAATGTACCGAGTCCTTTCTGAACATTGTGGTACTAACTTGCCGAGCTGATGCTCTTCCACTTGGCTAGGTATTCTAAGAATAACATGACTTCTGTTGTGTCATACAAGGAGTACGATGCCCATGTTTCTCTTGGGATGGATGTGACGATGATGGAATAGCCTTGTCTCTTTCGGTGTATAAGCTACAAATTTGGAACAAAAATTAGGATGGACATGAAGATCATGAATTTATGAACACCATCCTAGTGTCCAATTAATCTCCTCTTCCTATTAAAGTAAAATTGAATTAGCTTATTTACCCCCAAGTGGGAATTTACTGCGAGTTCAGATCAATACCTCAAAGGCATCTTCATCACTTGTGTCATCTCCTATGTATATTGGGAGAACGTCATTGGAGCTACCCAACCCGAGGCTATCAAGTAAATATTCTAGAGCATGACCCTTATCCCAGTCAATAGGGGGTCGTATTTCCAAGACCTGATTGAGAAAGAAATAGCCTTATTATATGAAAATGATGTAATTTTTTTTTCCTATTGTCCAAAATATGAAACTGTATTGTCCCTACTGTACCTTTTTACCTCTTGTTAGCCGAAAGTGTGGATGCTCTTCAAGTACAGACTTCACTTCCTCTTCTAATGAGCCCAAGTCCTGCATTTTATTTAGAGCTGTTATAAACACTTTTCTTGTTTACTCGTACACTATCAAGCTTCAACTGCTGCTAATGTAGCTTAATTATCATTATTCTTAACAAGAACAAATATCATAGGATTGCACAATCCTACAATCCATAAAGTGAAAAGCTTGGAATTGGCTTAGGGATTTAGGCTTAGTAGTATTGCAGTGAGATTGGAGATTTGGAGTAGCGTCTTTTAGGATCAAATAGTACCTGTGCGATCATTATAGAATTAACATGACAGTAACTCTGTAGTGCTTCTTTTTCTCTTCTTTATGCTGTTATTGGGGGAAGGGGATTGTCTCGCGTGATGCATCAAGTATGATGAGTTTGTGTGTTTGCTACCATTAACAACAATATGAATGCAGACAATTCATTTCTTAGACGTGTTTTAGAAATTATCTTCAAATATCTTGGCATAACTATGTTCAATGAGGTCATTAAGGGCCAGATAATGGCATCTAGCATAAAAATATCAGGTTGATGCATCGGGGTTGCTGCCCCGGGTGCACTTTATGCCAAATGGTGTTGGCCCAAGGCCGACCCAAAAAGAGTTCAGGCAGCCATCAGACCCCCTGAACTAAAAACTGCATGTTCGGAAAGGGGCCAACCCCCCTAAAGATGGATCCATGGTTCTTGTTGGGACTTCTTTCCCGTGCTTATCTGCTATAATATGTTCACAACTGTCTGAGCTATGCATTTATAGGAATTTGTCAATTTAGTTACTCTCCAATTCAAAAATAAAGTTACTGATACTGATATATTTGGCTGTTTTGGTCTTGGGGGGTTATGGTGATTGATATTCATAGGTTGACTATATGCAACCTTTTCAGTTTCAATGGTTTGTGGTCTATTCACTTTCAGGTTTCAGAATAGGTTTCTGGAACTGTTGAGAGTTGACTGGCTAATTTGGACAACGATTATTCATAACATCAGCTAGAAATTACCTCATCTGATACATTTCTGAAGTGGACAGACATACAGAACTTGTTGTCTTCAATATTCACACCATCAATTGCTGCAGTTTTCTCTTTTAGTGACATCTGGATCTACAAGGAAATGCAATCTATGTTGAATCAAATGATTTGAGAGAGATTAATAATTAATGATTATACAGGCAGTTTATGGATCTTTTACCATTTACCAAGTACCATTTTTAATAAAATTAGCTAAGACTAGTAGCTGTAATCTTTATCCTTAAGTAGAAGCATTATCTATAGAATGGCTTTGTCAAGAATATTTAAGTGACATGTTTGACCGTCAACTAGATAACAATTCAATAGCTGCCAACAAGTTAATGCAGACCAAAGGCTCACTTGGTTCAGTGGTCTTGGTCCGTGTTTTACCAACTCTTGCCCTATCTTCACTTATTTCATGTAATTTTTTTCCTTTAACTTTGATATAACAAGCTATATATTAACTCTGAACTAATGCATATCTCTGTTTTTTTTAGTATATTTCAACTTTTGATAATAATATATTATATGAGATGAATGCTGAATGTTTACCTGATTAATTTCAGACAAATACTTGTTTGCTGGTTGATAGATGACAAGCTTGTTTCCCTACAAGAGAGAAACCATTTCATGGGAAGGTAAATTGGGTTTTGCTTCATATGTATTTTTGTGCAATCAGTCAAATCTACTTGCTACAAATCTCCGCTATGGTACACATTTATGTGGTATATTTCGTACTGTCTCCTTTGATACTTGAGGGAACGGAAGCTATTGGTCAATGCTAAATTGTATATGTTTATAGGTTTGAATCTAGAACAGAGGAGAAAAGCCAAACCTTTAGGTCAACTGCTTTTGCATGATATTTCCAATCTCTAATCCTTAGTGGCTGCAATGGGGCCATTATATCCATCCCATGACTACCAGCATAGTAAATATTGTCCAATTGGACAAAATCATATACCTAGAAAATGAACACTACAGTTAGAGTTTATCTCTTATATACTCATTTTTCTATGTATATTATATTGATTTTGCTACCTTTTCTCTGCTCCTTCCACTGATTATTGAAGTTGGGAAACAACAGCCAACTTCATGCACCACAGCACGCATCTGCAATTTTTCATATTCTGTTGTAATTAGTGATCAACATGTATTGACTTCCTTATATAATCCTATAAACTATGCTTTATCTGTTTTTGATGTCTCATAGATATTTAGGCTCACTTTTATATTGAAATGGTATACCATATGAGTGATATGACTAATCCTTGATAAATTTGTTTACCTTGTCAGTCATAAAGGCAACATCAGGGTCATTAACAATTGGTGAAAGGGTTCCATCGTAATCTAAGAACACAACAATCTTTTTGTTCTCAGCTCCATGCATCATCTTCTGGAATTTGTCCAAAGCAGAAGGGTGCTTCTCCTGTATGCCATACAAAGTATGTATTAGGAATTAATACATTCTAGTACTGTTATGTTGTTTTCTGTGAAATTTTGGTCCACCAGAGACCCCGTTATTATGATTTCTCTGCAAATGGACACTAATAAATACGACAAAGTATATGAATCTTACTAGCCACGAGTCATATGAATGCCAATTTGTGCTCCTGTCTTCATCAAAAGTTGAGCTTGAGACTGACTTCAAGTTGTTAAGTTTGGCAATCACTCTAGGAAGTCCCATTGGTAACACTGATATTTTAGATTTGTGTATTTACCTGTGATAAAATTGTTGCTGCAATAAGGTTAGCGTCTATGGTCAAAAGGATTGTACATTTATACTAAAAACATAAAAAATCACCATAATTAATGTTTTTGTTCTGCCTTCTGTGAATAATTTGTTGTGCTTCTTTACAAAGGATAAAAAGGCTCTGAATTTCTGACTTCAAGGGTGCATGCAATGCAGCTATAAGTCTATAATTTTGAAAGAAAAGGGTGAGCTTAAGAAGAAGCAAGATTTACATTCAGCGTTTCTCCAAATATAGATGCAGAGCGCCCTGGGTAAGGCTGAAATCTTCTAATCTTCTTCTGCAACTTTTACCTGTAGCTTGCCCTTTTCTGCCTAATTTGCTATTATTAGGATCTATAATATTTATACTTTTATATAATTATATGTCTAAATTGTGAGCCATAAAGCTTCAATTTGGCACCTTAAGAAGCTAAGATTTCTGAAGTAGATATATAGACAGTTGAGCTTCATTGTTACAGACAAAAAGGGGGTCACAAACCTTTTATGTGGGGACATTTAAACTTTCGGTTTCAGATGGCCACTTGAGCACCCCTCTTTTCTTTCCTCTTTCGCAAGAAGCAGGCGTAGTTTTATTTAAAGGTCAATTGCAAAGTTGTCACTTCAATGAGGAGGGATGTTGATTTACATAAGGAAAGTAAAGAGGGGAATACTTCATGTAAACCTTCATCAGATCAGACCATCCTCAATGGTCATCCATCTATGCAATGCCAAGCTTGAATCTAATGGCTTTGGATCTTGAGTGCTTAAAACTATGTCTGCTACAGGTCACGGAATTTCCTCCCGGAACCTTAGGGGCCACTTAGAACCCTATGTTTTCCTTTCAGACAGGCAATTATGTTGTATTCTTTCAGGAGTGAGAGGGTATGAAAGTGATTCAAACAGGTCACTGAGAGAATAATGGCCACTTATGTTTAAGCCAAGTACTGAAATAGAATGGGCACAAAAACTGAAAGTGACTTTGCTATCCAGTTATCTAAATCGTAGGACTTGCCATTTTGTAGTGGGCAGTGCAATGCCACACATAAGTTTGGACGACAATCCCTGATTATTTAGAACTATTTGCAAATTAGAGCTGTCAAATGATGATGCAGACTTGCTATATATGTCATAGGTCAATACACTTTAGCAACATGTGGTTGAAGGGTATTTGCTGATAAGATATGTAAAAATCTTGTAGAGTCATTAATATCAGAGCTAATGAACCTAGTACAGATGCTACCATGTTCATGAAGCAAGAGTTGAGGCACTGCAGTCTTATATTAATATTATTACGAAGTTTAACCAAAGATTATAAATCCACACCCAAGTTTATGAAATTCGGATGTTGGTGATTTTTATGTATAGTACAATACATTCTAGAGCAAATCTAGGAATTATATGATAATCATCTCTATGATGTTGCCAAGTATCGGCCTCAGGTGTTTTTGGGTTTCCACTGTTGTTGGATTTTAGGCATGGATGTTGGCAATTTTCCACCTTTTATTTCCCATAGGCTCATCAAAAATTTAGTCCCCTTGAATTTTAGGTTGAACTCAATTGTGTTTATTTAGGTTTCAGCTGTATAAGCTTCTGGTACCACTGTTCCATTTGACACAACTTTTAATTTTCCTTACAACCCTCTTCCACTAGGAAGGAATTATAAAATAAAAGATCCATTTTTATGCTGTTAAGCTAAACTATAGTGGATTTGATATTCTTTGTTGAATAGGTCAATATGGAAATTTTGAAGCTTATTTATGATAATTCTTGTTATAGTAGTAAGAGAGGTATCGCGTTGCATTTATATATTTTAATAAGATTTCTTTATCTTTCATTTGATGTTGTGAAAGTGTGACACTACTAGTTAATTTGTTATGGAGGTAGTTTTCTAATTTTGTGGAGACATAGCAAGGACCACAAGTCCACTAAAATTTGATCTTGAAATAGGACAAATGTCTATTTCAGTTCAAGGGATGAATCCCAACTGTCAATTGGCCGTGGTGATTATTCACCGACCTTCAGCCCTACATACTTTGTTACTTAACTGTTCTACTGAAACCAATTACTTTGGGTCCCTGATTTGATGCTCCATCAAAGTATGTGACAACCCCATTGGGGTTCCCGTGATAGGAACTTTAAGCACACACACACCCTCTCACTTTCCCCAACTTGCAGGGAAAGTAATTAATCTTGTACTAGAAACCAAGGAAATTAAAATGTTATCTTGAATAAAGGACATTTAGGGATGATCTTTCGTGTACCCGTTAAAAAGATTGAATTGCATCATGAAGATAGGAAAATAATCGAAATGATGTACTGTGTAAAAAAGAAACATTGTAAATCGTACTCTGTGCTCCTCCTGTCCTAAATATGACTTGTTTGTTTGGAAGTTTACGATTCCTATGTCTGATGGACACATGATATAAATATCAAAAGTGAAGAAGACTTCAAATTTTGAAAAGATGGAGCACGAAATTAAGTATTGAGATATTTTCTGTCACAAGCTGGAAGTCTCCATACAAGTATTTTAGAGTCGGTTATTTTAATTTTATTTAGTGAGTATATACGGAGTTTACCCCAAATTTGTAACAGCTTATGCCATTAGTGAAGTGAACCTTTATGAGTGGCAATGGGATAAGGTCTGCAGTTCAAGACACTCTGGTTGGTGGCTGGGGTATAAATTATTACTCCCTCTATCCCATAATTAAGCTAATGTCTGGAAACAGTGGGTGGAGATACATACAAATAAAACTACCCTGCCTGCCTTCAACTTCAGTGTAGCAACGGAACAAAATTATTTGGTCCCCAGGCGGAGCCAAGAGATAAGCAAGCCATGCTTTGGTGAAATGTGTTTGTGGCGAAAATATCAAAACACACCTTAATTTCTTTTCTTGCAAAGAGCAAGAAGTGTTTACCATGAGTTTTGTAATTTAGCTTAGTATTTCCTGATTGGGTAGGATTGTATTCAGGTGCTTGCTTCTGCTCTCCACTGAGAGCAGGAGGAAGATAAATCACCTTGGAGTAGCTTGGTTTATAAGAGTATCTGGGATGACAAGATTATGATCATATATTGTGATTTTTATTTTTCGAGTATTTCACACTAGCTGTTACATAAGCTAAAGCTAATGCCGCCTTTGTGAGTGTGATCAGTTTTTCTAGGAGTTATTGATCAAGTGATCAACTTAGTTGTACAAAGATTATTAGACTTTTTATTTAGCAATAATAATTATTGCCTTATTTTGATGACTAAGACTTTAAGCACAATTCATCTATCTTGTACTAATCATGTAGTAACATAAAATTCTCCATTTGTTTCACAATTTGCAGTGTGGCAGATAAATGATGGGCAAAAATCAGCTAGAAGAAAGAATTTTAGAGCAGTGAGTCAAGTTTGGTCATACTCGGTTATAACCTAAGGTAAGAAGGTCCGACATATTCTTATATTTAGCTCTTTGAATCAAAGGCATGAGACTAACATACGAATCATTAGCTACTATTGCAATGGTTCTGTTTTCTTATTTTCTTAAAAAGATTCTTGTACAGTTCTATGACATTATTTTGTAAAAATTTGTACTGAGTTTTTGCATATTTAATTTTAAAAGTTTCTTTTATATGATTGTTATTCTATATCTTTTATATGATGGAAAATTAGGATAACAGTTGGTTGTGTTTTTTTTACTATAAAAAAGTCTAATGCGACCTGTTATATTATTAGCTGATTCAATATAATATAGATAATTTATTTTATTAACCTAAATTATTGGCTTGAAGCACTTTACATTGTTCTATATTTTTTTAGTGAATGGATTGTTCATCTTTATAGCCAATAATGTAGAAAGCATGCGAGATGCATACAAGTCTAATTGATTTGATGTGCTATACTTTAAGGGAATCAATCATCATTATTACTAGGCTAAACTTAAAGAAACTCCAACCCAAACCACCCTTTCGCACGAGTACAACTTTAGAGAAAAGACGATAGAACCAGAAACACCAAGAGAACCTAGCTCTAACCTAAACCATCCTGAAAGGTTGAAGTCTTCTCTAGGGTTAGAATGTTAGATTATCTAACAAAAATGCAAAATGTTGAATATATTTCATGTACTAGTAGTATTCAAATATTATTGATGTATGCATAACTTACAACATAAATTCGAGTTCTTTATCCATATAAAATTAACCATATGGTGAACACATACTTTTCATATAAATGTGCATGTATGATAAAGAGAAGCATACCAATGTTTGTCTTCCAATTCGTGCGTTGCAAGCTTTAGATACTTGGCAGGCAGTGGGATTCACAAGTGACAATGTGGTTTTTGAACAAGTTAAGTGAATGAAAGAGAAGGCATGAAGGATAGATGAAATCTATGGAGCAAGAAATTTAAGTTTTAGGCAGGGGATGAACAATAGAGTAATTAGAGGCTGCCTTATATAGAAGCTTGGCCATCACTGTCTTCCTTCTCTCTCTCTCTTTCTGTTTTTGCTTTCTAAATAATGTACTCTAGTGCTTTTCTCAAGGGTTTTTGGTTAGGGACCAAAGCCTCTATTTTACACTTGGGCATACATATGTGCTCCACACGTGTGATGCATACGCCTTTCTTAGGTAGTTAGGTGCACCAAAGTGTGAGATAAATTCTTCTATTAAATGAGAACTCGAATGAGTCTCCACTTAAAAATTAACCCATGGTTGTAGTTTAGGTATACCCGGGTACCTTGGTTTAGGATTCCCCTAGATTAGCCCAGTAGTTGTAGGATAGTAGTTTAGTTACACCCTGGTTATGTTATTCGGACTTTTCATTTTATGTTAGGTATCATGTCAAATGTTCGACACCCAAGCATGGTAGTATAATTTGACCCTTCAATTGTGGCCATATCATGAATTTTTTAAACTAGATAACCGGATTAGACACTTGAACATGTATCCAAATCGAACATGAGTACCTGGATTGGAGCAACATAGCACCAGGGTACCTTGGTTTAGCAACCCTCCTCCCTTCTTTCTCTTCCATAAAGAGTCGCGAGAACCAACCCATTTTTGCTAATTGATCAGTATGTTTTTGCTTCTCTATTCTTGTGTTAATAGAACACTTTTTTCAATATTGACATCAAATTTAGCTGCAAAGCCCATATAAATAAAGCTGCCTGTACAATCCTTTATTATACAACTTTGTCCTAGCAGTTTCGTCCTTAGGTGTACAACTTCATAAGTTCACAAGTCTGATGGGCAACCCACTGGCCACTGCAATTTAAGCCTCATTACTTACCAACTTCTAGTAGTCCTAGGCGCATACACGGTAGGGAGATTTGGGGCTGCACGTACCCATCGGGTTTGTATTAAGATCATGTACAAGTGTACAACTACTTCCGCGGACACCCTTAATTGTGTGACATTGATGCAGAACTTGTACCTGCACAGCTTGACTGAAACTCTGTTTGAAGGCATTTCCTTAGGTTTGGGTTGCTTCTTGGCAGATTAATATTGTCTTTAGAAAGACCAACAATACTCACAATTGCCAACTGCATAGCATTAGTAGGTTGGATACATGAGAATCTCATTTCTTAATGATCTGATGCTTGCCTTTTGAAAGGCAAGATCTAATAAAAATGTTCTGCTGGCAAGCATGAAACAAGTTGAATATTCTTCTTTTCCAAACACTATTATTTTTTATTACATATACTTAAGTGTCCTACTGGTGACTCGAGTGCTACCAAGTCGTTCCTAAAACAAATATTGGTCTTATTTGGCGATCAGTTGTTAACAATATTAACTATTTTACTGATAGTTTTGGTTAGTTGGATGATTTTGAATAAAACCGTCATTTGATCTTTGAAGTAAAATAAAATTTTCACTCTGATTCAAAAAGGGTTCAATAACCCGATATACGAGTACAAGTTTTCTCTATTGATTCAACTTGATTTAGGCCCCGTGCAATTGACCTAAAAATAAACCGTTTTTAATCAGTTTCAGGTTATCCAAAGAAGGCCTAACAGCTTTAAAGCCAACCAAGTTGAATATACACCATTTGTCAAACAACCCTATAATCTTGGCTACATAACCTAACAGAGAGTAAATTATAGTAATAACTTTCCAAATTTAGCCAATCATCATAGCTATCTCCACCATCTGGACAAGTGAGAGCCATTCATTGAACTATCACCACAAAAACATTCTTTTTCTGTAAATTAAATCATTAAAACATTTAAATTTTTATTCTAAAATCTTGTGAGTGCTAAGAAACCCATGCATGTTTATGTTTTTGTTTTTATGCTTTTGGTGTTCAACAGGTAGTGTTTGCAATTGTTTTGAAGCTTTATTAAAGTTAAAACACTAATTAGAAACACAAAAAAGAGAGTGAGCACTTATACTAAATTCCAACCATCCGATTCAGCCACATGCATTGCTTCGTCCTTGATTTTACTCCAACAACTTTTGATTTTCTTCCACATTGTTTATGAGTTTGGACATGACCCTTTTTAATTTTCATATTCATTATATTTTTGTCTTAATTATATAATTTTATGCTTGAAAAAGTTTACTTGGGTCATTTTTGTTAAGTAAAGTACAAATTTCGATTCAAGTGGAATACTCCCTCGGTTTTTTTTTTCGACAAGCTAGCGTGTCTTTCACATATGTCGAGATGTATGTTTGATCATTAATTTTTTCTATTGTGTATTAAAATGTTGGTGAAAAAAAAAATGTGAAATTGATCTTATGAAAATGTACATTATGACTAATCCAACTCCATATCCTACAACAACGCTAAGTTCTTTAATTTATAAAATATAAAACAAATTTAATAAGTCAAAAATAATATATGAACAGTCCAAAAGTCATATTGTGTCATTTAAACGAGAGTAGAATATAGTTATTATTATTATAAACTATGTATTTCAAATAATAAGAAAAAATTAATGTACTTTGAGCATTGGAGTGTCCACATTAAACAAAATTAAAATGTTTTATACAAAATAATTAGATTGGCTTTTGGATGCAAGTGAGAACTAAAATGTCCTTATCAATAAGGGCGCTAAGCTTTCGGAAGTTATATACATTGTGTGCATATACAAAGCATAGGAAGCTAGGAGATGCCACTTACCGAATGATTGATATGGACATTTCAAACTATCTTATAGTAATAATTTGATTTTTTTTATAGGATGCTTTTCTAAAGTTCATGTGATTTATGGGTGGAATTCCACTTGAATGAAAGTAATTTAAATTGAACGGGTTAAAGCTATCTTTTTGTGTAAAGCAAGTTTAATTTGATTTCAGAAGAAATAATAACCTTTGATCACTTTGGTTTACTTTTTATTTGTTGGTTAATTATGTCCTTTATACCACTACTACATCTCTTCTTGAAACGATTTCCTTAAATAATGCTTGAAAGTATAAAAATAAATTGTGTTGGTTTAATATTGTTGTTATTAATACCGTTTTCAAGTGGAATTGATTTTAATAGCGATTTATATGCAAGGAAAAACCACTAATAGTGCTAGCACAAAGAAATTGTTTGTTTTAAACATAATTTAAGGAAATTATTTCTCTTCCACAATTGCTTATCATGGACTCATGGGTGTTTGATGCTATTCGCATTTATGGCATGTACTTCTACATTTTTGAGGCAATTGTTCTTGATTCTGAAATAAGCTTTGGGCAAGTTCAGCAATAACTTGTGTAGTTGCTAAACGTAGCCTGTGTCCTGTGATCCTGCTATGCTGTATAACTTTGTAGTATTTGATATGATGTTCTTGTTTGATTTAATACATATACATTTGAAGATCCGATTCAAACCCAATTTCCTTGGATACTATGATAAGGAATGCATTTTCAAGTTATATCTTAGTGTACTAGTTTCATTATATCGTATGAAGTTATTTTTTTATCTCGAGTATTTGTCACCAATTGTTCACTTTAATACCATGGGGTAAATCCGTAAATGTATCTGATCTTGAAATAGATAACACTAGAATATGAAAACATCCATCAGCAAGAAAATAAAAATTACTTATGATTTTCTTGAATGTTGAAAGATAGCTGTGTTTAATAACAACGGTTTCTTAAGAATGTCTATTAGGCTATACATGAAATATTAATGGCAAATGAGATTTTGGCATCAACTTTATAGCATTTTAGCCTAAGAAGCATCACTCTGCGGCATGCGGCCATATTGAAATATATGCTCCCTATCTTGAAAGAATAAAAAGGCATGAACTGTAAATAATAGCATTTATGTATATTTTCTTTATTGAAACAGAATAGCCAAAGTGTCACGATCTGGGAGTTTGGATCCCGAAATATGCGGCGCGTTCTAGCCTTTTGACAGCAAGAACGCTAGCCTTGAGCGGAAGAGGGGCTTGTGAGCACAAAGCAACACAAGCGGGTAATTAAATCAAAGGAGCACTCACGTCTATTTGGGCGACGGAGTGCGGGTGGTCGGGGCTTGTGACGGCCGATACTTAAAGGTGGGCTCAAGCGGGTCCGAACCACGAGTTCTTAGTGCATCAAGTTGGTTTGAAGGGGAGCTATTATGCAAGTAAGACACAATATCTATAAAGGTCTAACAACAAACAAGCATAAAACCAAGGCAACACTTGGTTGAAGACTTAAGATTTCATTAATCATTCACCCTCTAAAGAGCTTTAATTTGATTAGAAGGAAAATCCCTAGAGAACACTGAACTGAGAGTAACACAATAATGGGACCTCAAGCTAAGAAAACATAAACTAAACTCTAAGAAAGCATCTAAAGGGAATCTAATACATAAAAAGGAGTTGGATTCTAACACAAAGGCATATTGGGCCGAGGGAGGGGAGACCGGGCCGCGGTCGACGGTGGGGGCTGGGTTGGCAGTTCGTTGGGGAAAGGGAAGGTGGCCGGGAAAAGGGACAGGGTGGCTGGTGGTGGAGTTGTTTTTTTTTTAAAAAAAAAGTTTTTAATTATTTTAATTAAAGTTTTAATTATTTTAATTAACATCTCGGTAATTTTTATTTCCGGGTCTAAATAAGTGAAAAATTGGCCAAAATCGAAGACTATATAATACACGATTTTAGGTTAGTTTTTGACATTTTTATAAAAAATGAACTGAATGTGTTGGATGAGTCCTGGGGCATCTAAGGAGGTTTGAAACCATAAGACACCGATAAACATTTCCATAAAGTATCAAGAATGAGTTTTGACTCTATTCATGAAATATAGTGATTTCATAAAATAAAGTCAAAACTCATTTTTGGTACTTTATGGACATCTTTATCGGTGTCTTATGGTTTCAAACCTACTTAGATTCCTGATAACTTGTTATTTGGCATGATTTTAGGGTACTTTTGAACCTTGTTTTCGTTATTAATCGACATCAAAGTTCATTTTTATCCTATTTTTATGCAAATTTTGTACCATCCATGCTTCACCGGTTGTTTGTGTTTTTGATGTAATGTAGCTATTTTTAGCACTATGGACATGATCAAGCATGAGTGAGCCATGGAGGAAGAAGGAGGAATGCCTTAAAGGGAAATGAAAAGCTTTTGGAGAACCTTGAAAGGTCGTTTGCGTAAGCGTCAACTTCAACCAACCATAACTTTTGATCTTATCAACCTTTTGAAGCGATTCAAATTGGAGATTAAAGTTCGTCTCAAGAGCTTTCCAACGACTGGTCACAAGTCCATTTCCGACAAGAAACGTAGAAGTTACAGCTTCCCAAAGTTAAGCAGTCTAGGCAGGGCATCCTGCACGGACGTGCAAGATGATAGCACGTCCGTGCCAAAAGCTGCACGTCCGTGCCAAAAGCTGCACGTCCGTGCAGACCTTGGCAGAAGCTTCTGCCTCCATTTTGGCCCTCCTGCACGTCCGTGCCAAATATGGCACGTCCGTGCAGACCTGCAGTCGAACTCCTTCCTTGTTTTCTCCGTCCTTTTTATTTGGGGGTCATATAAATACCCCTTTAGAGCTCATTTGTACGGGGAGGCAGTTTTTTTAGAGCTTTCCTCTTAGTTTGTAGTCTTAGAACATTAAATTCTCAAATCATTAGTTAGTTCTTAATTTTTAGCTTGGAAGCATTCAAATTCAATCATTGTAGAAGACAAAATCCACCATTGTTGCTCACTTTGAAGCTTCATAGTAACCATTTCTTACTCATCTTTTCTACTTCTCTTTACTTTGTTGTTGATTACTTGCTTAATTCTTGCATGCTTAGATTGTTAATTAGCTTAATCCTTAGTTTGAACTTGTTCATGAATTGCTTGAAACCTCTAATTGCTTTAACCTCCATGGATTGTGAGTAGTCTAAATTCTAGGGTTTGGGTAAAACCCTCAATGTAGTCACTAATTACTTGTTGCATGTGCTAATTTGGTTGTTGTGGGATGATGATTAGTTGAGCTTAAGTGGTTTAATTGCTTAGCTCTTGTATATGGCCATTGCTAGAACTATTTATCCAAGCTTTCTCAACGAAGGATCGAGAGATGAACTTGAGTTAGCTCCCTTATTAATTGACCCGAAATGCCATGAGAATAGGGATTACCGGTCAAGGGAATGTTTATGTCATCGTGATTATGCTTTAACACTTGTTTTATGCTATGTAACCACGAGAGTAGGTTATATTCACGATTCAAGTAATCCCTCTAGCTTGAGAGAGTAGTTGGGTGCTTTAGATGACTTCCCCTAATTTGTCCCATTAATTTACCTTGATTGTAGCATGCTAATTGTGATTTGTGATGAAGTTGAGTGGTATAACCCGAGCCCTAGATTCCTCTTAATATTTTTAATCTCCTCTTAGCTTTAGTTGAGTTGAATTAGAAGAAGTTACTCAAAACCAACCCAATTTAGAATTCATTTAGCTTATTTAAACGGTAGTACTCGATGGTTGATTCAACGCCTCTCTTGGGTTCGACCCTTTCTTACCCTTACTATTGTTAGTGAGACCAAGATAGGAATCATTATCTTTGGTAGGCTCGACGACGGCCTATCAATTCCCAAGAGTCATCCTACACATTCAGTTCATTTTTTGAAAAAATGTCAAAAACTAACCCGAAATCATGTATTATAACCTTCAATTTTGGCCAATTTTCCACTTATTTTGACCCGGAAATAAAAAATTGTCGAGATGTTTACCATGGCCCCTAATACCCTCCGGAAGTCTATTTGGGTGGGTGCAACCATCCAATATTCCTTTAAACGGTCAATTTACCCGTTCGCAACTTGCATCGATTTCGTAAACTCAAGCCTACCGCGGACATTTCTGACAACATATAATGGTCATATATTGTTCCAAACGACATTATATGACTCTGAGATGTATTTCCTAGGATCTCAAGACTTTTAGTCACCGGGCCCCATAACCTCAAAAATTCCTCAAAAAGCGTGGATAAATGGATAATCGCCTTCAATTTTGAATTTTTTTGACCTTTTTTCACCCGAAAATAAAAATTGCCGAGATGTTTACCATGATCCCTAATATACTCTGGGAGCCATTTGGGTGGGTAAAACCATCCAATATGCCTTTAAACGGTCAATTTACCCGATTACAACTTGCACTGATTTCATACATCAAGCTACATCACGGACATTTATAACAACATATAATGGTCATTTATGGTTCCAAATGTTATTATATGACCCCGAAATGTATCCCCTAGCATCTCAAGACTATCCGATACCAAGTCGCAAAACCTTCAAAATTGATAAAAAAAAAACGCAGATAATAGCCTTCAATTTTGACAATTTTTGACTCTTTTTGGGTCGAAAAAAAAATTGCCGAGATGATTACCATGGACCCTAATATCCTCCGGGAGTCCATTTGAGTGGGTGGAACCATCTAATTTTCCTTTAAGCATCCAATTTCACCATTTTCATACACGCCTTGTATTGGATATAAGCTTCCACGGGGCCTTTACGTAGCCGAATTATGGTCATATATGTATGGGTCGAAACAATATTATATGAACCTGGATGCATCCCGTAGTGTTGCGTGAATTTCCAACACCGGGTCCGGACACCTCCTAAATTGCTCCGATCTCATGTATTATAGCCTTCATATTTAACTTTCTTTTATCATTTTTTCACCCAGCGAGATTATGCATCCAAGTACTTCCATGGGTTCCCAAAAGGCCTTGGGAGTCATACATAGTGCCCAAAACCATCTCATTTATCCTTAATCATCTTGTTTTAAGGAGCCTTGGAGTCGTAACTAGTGCTCATAACCCGGTATGTTTGTCCTTGGGTGCACATGTCTTGTGCACATGCCACACGATCCCTTGTACCATCCAACATCCCAACACTTAGGCTTTAATTTGTGACTTGTCTTAATCCCATACTTAGCATTTTTTAGCAATCGAGATGCATCACTAATCTCGTTTCCCAAAATATAGGTGTTTTTAGGGAATAAGGTGTGGGGGGGGGGGGGACGAATCGAGAAGACATAGGACTGAATCTTAGTGGATCGTGGCAGCAAGACCACTCTGCCACTTGCAATGCCCCGTCACGTATTTAAGTCGTCTGCAAAGGATTCAACCCATTGCTCGGTTGAAAATGTAATTCAAGGCGGCTTTCGCAGCGCATACACCACCCGAGCTTAGCCTATAACACGTGCCCTTGGGGGCCGAAACCCCTACTATATGACGACATAGTGCGGTGGGCGCATGCGTCGCTTCTAACCTGGATTCTGACATAGAGTTAATTACATTATTAAACGAATTTATTGAAAAAAAGATTAACTGGTTACTAAGATTGTAGGTAAATTCTTGTTTAAAGCGGGGTTGTACTCATTATTTTTTTTATTTTTTTTTATTTGAAACAGTTGTACTCGTTATTTAGAAATAATTAAAAAGTTAGCTTGTTTTTGGCTAGTCACTCAAAAGTTGTATTATTTTTGACAATTTTTCAAAAAATTGACAAAAGCATAAATAAATGAAACATATGCAATATGTCTTGCACATGTCTATAAATGACCTGAAAATTAAGGTCAATGTTTGGAAATTTTTAGGTAGTGGTCAACAATTGTACTACTTTTGAAGGAAATTGTGGACAAAAATAAAAATTACTCTGTATATGGTAATTTTGGACAAAAAGTTGTCAAACAAAGGCAGTTTTAGACACAAAAAAAAATCCTAACAAAAATAAACGCTTTTCCAGGGCTAGTTTGGCTCACCCATTCATAATTGTGGCGGTTCTCTCAACGTTCTCCATTGAAGCGCAGTTGACCTTCTCTGTTGAATCTAATACTTGTATCCCCCCATTGAAGCAGCTTCAGAGGTAAGTTGTTTGTTTTTGTTATCATCATGTCAATTTCACTATCTAGGTTTTATCTACAGTAATTTAATTGTCAGTGCTTTAAGGGTAGGTAGGGCTCGAAAATCTCAACTATCAATTCTAAATTCTAAGAAAATTATGACCCTAATTTGATTATTGAATCAAATATCCCTAAAATTATGTAATTTTTCGAATCAAATTTGGTTGTCAATGTATGAAATTACACTTCTTTTCTCTGCCTCTAATTCGAAATTACCCTAAAATTATAGTGATCTTTTTGATAAATGCTTATTTTGTATGTCGAAAAATTTATATATTTCTTAACCAATTAATAGATGCAGACTAGAGAAGATGAGGGGGCAATAAGATTATGTGCGAAGAGGATGTGTTGTTTGAGCAAGAATAAAGACTTAGACCGTGTTTGGGTCCAATTTATCTAATTGGGCCTAGTCATGTATTTGGGTCCAATTATCTTATTGGGCCTGGTCACTAAATGACTCCATATTCCAAGGTCAAGGCCCGAGCCTCCAATCAAGCCAAGTCAACCAAGAGTCCTTTGGTCCGAATTGCCATGGTCAGCCCATGACTATTTAAAGGCCCAATTACTCTCCTCTCATCATGAGCAAAGGTATAAAAGCCTTCAATTCATTCATTTGTAAAAAACATACAAAAGCCTCAAGCATTAAATCTCTTGCATAGCTTTCTCTCTCAAAACACTGTTTGACTTCGGCATCGGAGGGGTCTTCCTCAGATCCACCCCCGAGGCCAGTTTACGTGTTTTAGTTGTGCAGGAAACCTTCGGCCCAACATCAATTGGACCGGACCAGTCTTCAGCCACTTCAGCGGGCCTTCGGCAAGGCCCCATTGTTTTCATCCGAAACAATTTGGCGCCGTTTGTGGGGAAGACTTTC